CATGTTCCATGTTTACAATTAAGGGCCAATCAAAGACAGGATCTCTCTGGGACAGAATCAGAGAGAGCTCCGTTGTTGATTCATTCCTTTTCTATTCTTAGCTTAGCAGCTTCTGAACCTTTATCTCTATTCCTTTTAGTATAGTCTTAATGTAATATATATCATAAATTAATAATTCCAGCCTTCTGATAATGGAGTCAAGATTCTCATCTATGTCTTCACCCCTGAGGAACCCTTGCAAGCCCTGTAACACAGGGACACCTTCCACTAGCCCAGGTTGCTCAGAGCCCCAGCCAACTTCACCTTGAACCCTGCCAGGGATGGAGCATGCACAGCTTCTCCAGACAACCTGCGCCAGTGCCTCACCACCCTCACAATAAAGAACTTCTTCCCAGTATTTAATCTAAACCTGCCCTCTGTCAGTTTAAAGCCATTCCCCCTTGTCCTGTCTCTCCATGCTCTTATAAAAATTCCCTCTCCTCGCCTGTAAACCCTTTAGGCACTGAAAGGTGCTCCAAAGTTTCTCCAGAGGCTTCAGGTCTCTGGGCTGAACACGCCCAGCTCTCCCAGCCTGTCTCCATGTTCCAGCTCTCTTCATGCTATAATAGCTAAGCATTTTGCCATGAAGCATCACAACAAAGGCAGGAAGAAGCAGCTGCCGTGTTCTCCCCGCTCACACGGAGCCGGGCGTGGCTCCGTGCGGGGCCGGCAGTGCGCGGAGCTCCCGCGGGGCGGCGCTCAGCGCTTCGGCACCGCCGGCAGCGCCTCCAGAGCGGCTCCCCCGAACGGCCTCCGCATCCCCTCCGCGCAATTTATTCCTTATTTTGGTCCCAGTTAACAAGGATACATTTTTTCTCTCCTGCAGTGATTTTTTTTTTCCTACTTAATCTCTTAAACTCTAAAATTGATTCATGTTAATGTTAATAATTTAAGGGAAATAAGCCTTTTCACGGTCTAATCACACCAGCATTGAGAAGTGACAGTCGCCTCTGAATAAAGGATGGCATGATTGGCAGGATTACCTTCAGGCAAGGGGAGATCTGGAGAAGTGGAATAGTGTGAAACTTCATCTCTCTCTCATGCTGTTCGGATTATTTATCAAAGTATGTGAAGATCAAAAAAAAAAAAAAATCAAGGGAAATGCACGCATGTAAATTATTAACAGCCTGCCTCAGAGGATGAGCAGATTTTGTTCATACTGTATTAACTATAACAAATTTTATTACATATTCAAAGAAAAAGAAATAGAAGTTACAACTCCAACACTGTAGTAGATAACGTGTGAAATAATCTCATAAGAAACTATTATCTACAAAATAACATTGTAAATATAAGAAAATATCATCAAGAAAGCATCTGACGTTCAGGGAACTACTTGTTTATTTTTTATTTATATTGTTGACTCTTAGAGGCTGAAATGGAATGCTTGCTGTAGTCCAAGCAATATTCTGGTGTGAGCCATCTGTGACTGAGATCTCTAATGCAGGCCACCAACAAGAATAAAGACTGGTTCATGAAGCAGTAGCACAAAAGCAAATCTTTATTTGCTGTTGCTCAGCAACCATGTGCGAAAGGCCCATTTTTCATTTTTGCCTTAACTTGACAGGAAAATGATAATAAATATGAGATTATTATCACAGGGTATAGATTATTTTGAACAGATGAACAGATATGTCAAAGAGAGGCATGTAATTTGGTACTCTTGAAAGGCAGAATATTAGAGAAACTGAAAATAGAGTTGTAGGTTTATTACTGGCTTGCAGTTCATGCACAGTTCTTGAAAAAACCTAGAAAACATTATTCTGTCTCTCTGGTTTCTCTATATGGTCCTTTAAAATGAATCACTTGGTGTTATTCAGCCTGTTGTTATGTGTGTCAACTTCTAGTTTCAATACTGTGAAAAAAACCATTCTGTGGTTGCTATGCAACAGAAATTAAAAACTAAAATATGTTTTAGTTTGTTTGCTAAAATGATATGTGCCCAACTAAATAAACAGTAACCAGGTGACTAATGTAGCATCTAATTAAAAGACTAATCAAGGTATTAATGAAATATTCAGTATATGTGAGTCATGATGAATAAATCCATCAGTTTGGATCTAAAATGGCAAAGATTTTTAATTTATGCAGGAAATTTTTAATATAGGAAGATATTAGCATAATCTAAAAATGTCAGGTGTTATACCTTTTTATTTATTTTTACAATTCTACAGGTATGCTGATTGCTCATGCAACTTACTCCAAGCAAACTGTTCCACAGGCTCCTTGCACTTAGCTGAATATATGACTTGGGATATAAAGTCAGGTCCACAAGATCTGACACAAGCCAGCTTCTCATATCAAATAAATGTAGCAGAAAATGCAAAAAACCTTGATTTTTAATGTAAACTAAAACTGTGAAATGCAGGATCAATAAGGAAGGTTCTATGTTAAAAATTAAAACAGCAGAAGATGTAAATGCTACTTTTAAAGGAGTGAATTTTTACATTTAATACTAAATGAAATCTGAATTTCATAATATTTTTTAAAATTACAATCCTGAAAAGTCTAACCAGATGTGAGAACTTCTCTAGAAATTATAGTTGGTTTTCTGTAAAGCAGCACATGCTGTACTGCTTCTTCAGAGTGAAAGTAAGTTACTGCAGTTATGCACCTCTCTCTTCTAACAGCCAACACTGAGAAATGCTACTGAAAATGCCAAATGGAAAGATACAAACTAAGCCTTAACAAGACACTTTGACTGGTTTTGGTTTGCAGAAGAGCTCAAACAAATGGAATGGGGAATATTATAGAACTCAAAATCTGACTCAAACTATTTCCAACACTGCAAAGAAGAAACAGAATTTCCTGATATATTAAAAAAATATTTAGAGTTAGTTATCAAACTCTAAATATCATGTGGCTTACATAGTCTCCTATACTATACATATAGGCTGTTTAACTCTTCATTGCTTTTGGATGAAGAGTGCAAAGTACTCATATTTTTCACCAGGACTGTGAGGAAAAGCAAAGCTGTCAAAAATAACAACAATAACATTATTGGAGAAAAAAGCCACCAGTGTAATCAAATGCGTGATATTTTGTAAAAGCAGTTATGTTCACTTAACTGGAAGAAGGAGTACCATTTCTTAAGCATGTACATGAATTTAACCGAGCGTGTCTTCCCCCCATCTTGAAACACTGACACTTGGCAGGTAGTACAGGAAGGGAACAGCGAGAGGGGCAGTGGGTTTGAACCGTGGCAGCTGTCTCTGGGGAACTGATGGATGTTCCCCCGGCACCAGCCGTGACAGAAAGCAGCGGAGGAAAGAGCCTTTGAGCGCGGCCAAGCTGCCGGGAGCAGCAGCCGGGGCCGGGCCGGGCGCTGCCCGCGTTACCCGGCGCTGGAGCGGGGCAGGGGCTGGGGAAGCGGCGGGGATCAGCCTGAAGGGGAGGTTCGAGGGGGACCTTATGGCTCTCCGCAGCTCCCGAAAGGAGCGTGTAACCAGATGGGGGTCGTGTACTACGTGTAACCAAGTACCAGCGACAGGACAGGACACAGCCTCAAGCTGCGCCAGAGGATGTTCAGGTGGAGCATTAAGAGGAATTTCTTCACAGAAAGGATGAGTGGAATGGGCCGTGCAGGGAGGTGGTGGAGGCGCCCTCCCTGAAGGTGTTTAGCAAAGACTGGACGTGACCCTCAGTGCTATGGTCTAGCTGACCGATGATGTTCGGTCACAGGCTGGACTCGATGACCTCAGAAGCCTTTTCCAGCCCAGCTGACGCTGTGGTTCCCTCAGTTTTTAACACGACCCCCTGTCCCGAGCGGGTTCCCTCAGTTTTGAACACGATCCCCTGTCCCAATGGGGTTCCCTCAGTTTTGAACCCGAGTGGGTTTCCAGGGCCGCCTTTCCCCCAGCCCGCCCTCAGCGGCGCCGCCCGCGAGAAAAGGGGGGGCGGCGGCCGAACTCTCGCGAGACGAGACGGGAGTTCCGCGGCGCGCGCGCAACGTCGGCCGCGGGAGGATTCGAAAAGTGGCGGGTGAGGGAGGGACCGGACCGGACCGGACCGGGGGCTGGCGGCGTCCCGGAGCGTCCCCGAGTGTCCCCAGGTGCCTCGAGCTGCCCACCGGTGTCCCCTCCGAGCGACTCCCGGGGCCGGCGTCTCCTCCGGCGGTGCTGCCGTGCGCCGCGGGCTCTTCTACGCCCGTGTCTACCGGCTTCGCTTCGCTCCGCTGAGGCGGCGCCGCGGTGTTGGAAGCGCTTCCCGCGTGTCCATGAGGCTGCGGCCGCTCTGAGGGTCTGTGAGGCTGCGGCCGCTGTGAGGGAGCCCGAGGTAAGCGGCCCGTCCGGCTCCCCGCTGCCTGCCCTGCCGGGGCCTGGCGGAGCCCCCGGGTGGTTCGGGACAGGGCTCAGGAGCGGCCCCCGCCCCGTTCTGTGATGTGGCTTCGCACTCACTAAATGCTGTGTGAGTCGCTTTCCCTCCTGGAGAAACACGTCAGGAGACACCTGGGATGGAGGGAATGTTTGCGTTAGCGAATAAGGCTCTTGGTGGCCTTGCTCATTTCCCATGGTTTTCATTTGATAGCCGGGAAAAAAAAACATTTTACTACCCCTCAGTGCTTCTTATACAAATAAATAGTGTTGTTGTTGGGAATTATGACTTGCTTAAATAGTGGGTGTGTGCTGGAGAATGCATTGTGCTTTTTAAAAAGTATCCATTAGCAATTTATTCTGCTTTAACGCTTACTTACTAAAAAAAACTAAAAGAAAAAGAAAGCAAGCCCTGCAGCCTAGTGATGTTGTGAATCCAAAAGCTGATTCATATAGCTAAAATATGTTGGAGGAGAAAACTACTTTAACTATGTAGTACATAGTACTATGTATAACTACTCTAATATATACCATATATAAATATATATATAAAAATGCTATGTATATATCTGATATATGATTTACAGTACATTTACAGTACCTTCTCTAATGTTATGCTTTGGTTATAAAGGAGGGAAGAATTCCAGGATGAAGCGCGAAGCATTTTTGCAAGTTGTGTCTAAAGAGTCAATTGAAGACTTCCTGCGTTACACTCAGAGCCCTGTAAGTGAGGCAGTGTGTACATTTATCACTTCTGGAGTCATGAGCCTGTTCCAGGTGCAGAAATCATGTGACAAAGGGACAGAAACTATTTGTCTGGTACTTGCAGATGGGGATGATTGCTATACAAAATAAGTTCAAATGGCACTTGAAGGAATATAGGCTGAAAAAGTTGTGAAATCTGAAGAATGAATGTTTATAAACCAGATAATTTTCTGATATTTGGTTGTTCCACATATTGCTGATATTTTCTGGTATTTGGTTGTTCTATTTTTTAAAAATAGAATGTTAGTATTTGTGTAATTCTAAACAAATACTGATTACATGTTGCTGTTGACATTGTTACATTTCAACCCATGGAAGAGTTTATTGGTATATAATGAATAACAAACATAGCAGAATTGTGTTTCACTAGTATTTGTTCATTCATTTGGTAGTTTGGGCTGTCCATTTGTTCTTTGCTCCATGTTTAATTTTACTTGAATTGTTCTTTTTACCACTGAATGCTCTAGAGAAGGGCTAGATTGCTCTCTAAAGGAAGTGTGGAGAGAACAGGGAGGAACAACCAAACAATCTACCGTTAAAAGCTCAATCTCACTTTGTGTATATATTGCATAATAATGAGAAATAATAATTTGCATTGAGGTGTTTCCCACTCAGCTTCAATCTGTCTGGTGTTAAATATACCTGAGCTCTTCTGAACATCTTGCTGCCATAAATGGTATTGTGAAGTTTGTATCTTGAGCTTTCTTATGGGTATTTTCTGGTAGTACCTGTGGCAGGATCAAGTGGATCACTTGACCTGTATGTGCACAGAGGCAGGAACTGATTTAATGTAGCAGTATATTAAACCCACAATCTTGTTCTGTGTAATAAGCTTACAAAGTTTGTCTCCCAAACATCCTTGAATCTTTCCCAAGAAATTTGCTATTTCTTTCATTTGTGTGCCTGTATGTAGTTATGGATGATAAATTTATTACCAGACTGCCTTTGCCTAAAGTCTCCTTCTCATTTTTCCCTAAATCTAATACTTTAACAAAAAACTATTCACTTTAGTATTCACTTGCCCTGTTTCCTTTTCAATGGATTTGGTTGTGTTGATTCTGCCATCTGCATTCAGTAATTTATTTTAATGAGCCATGGGCTATTTGGATTAAAGATGGTTGGGGTTTTTTTCATCCTTTTATTTTTCATCACAGGAGTTCTCTTGCAGCAGTGTTCAGCTTTTGCCAATATCTCTGGAAACTTTGTCACCAGCTACAATGAGTATATCAATTAAAATTGTCTTCCTGCCTTTGTAGCATAAGGGAACATGAATATCCACATGACTTTTTGACTGTCCAAAATACTTCAATTCCTTTAATAATTTCCTTGTGAAACCTGCAGCAATGGAGGATGTGTGACCATGTCTTGTCTTAGTATGAGGATCCTCCTTTTTGGATCTCCCTTAAAAAATCCTTGAGTTCTTTTCTGGAGGAGGCTGTGGTTAAATAAATCAGCACTAAAGCTTCACTGCTTTCCTTAGTTTTTGTATTATATTTGCTACTTAGTTGGTGCTCTAGCCTAAGAATTTGCCTTTTAGACTCTCTTCAAAGTTCAGTTTTTAGCATCACTTCTTTCAGTGTCTATTTTCTGCACATGCCCTGACCTCCTTTTACTTCCCCCTTGAATTTTTCTTTTCCACACTCACTATTTAGATTCATCTGTGTCTTCTAAAATTCCAGGGCTTTGCTAATTTTCCTTCAGGGTTGCTTGTGGGCTTTTTGCTTTTTCCTTTGTAATATTTAAAAATGTCATATTGTTGTGCTGTCCATTGAGATCTTCAGTAGGTGCTGTTGGCTTTTTCCACTAAATCCTATTCTAATTCAAGAAAATACATAATTTCTTAGACAGAAAAATAGGAATCACAGATATGATTATCATTCACTGTCATCCTTTCTCCTCATAGATTTTGGAGTAATTCTGTCTCATATCATCCCAAAGAAAAATCTTAAAGCTCTGATCTTATTATGAATTCATTCTTTCTGTTCAAAATGGTACAATCTTAATATCCTGTCTTTTGGGTTTGTTTGAATCACAGGGCTGCAGAACTCCCTGTGAGGCTTTTGGTTTATTGTATTTGTTTTCAGTTGTAGAATAGAAATTCTCTTATAAATATTAACAGGATCTTTCTTCTCATACCCTTCTGGGAACCTTGCAATACTTACTGCTGCTTCTTTCATTCTTTTCAGTTTTTACCTTCAACTTTTTCTTTTTGATGCCTTGCAGTGTATCTGCAAACTAAAAATAGATTTATTTCAAGATTATGGGAGTTCTATTTCCTCTGAAGTGTTTTTGATCCAGTGAACTTTCACTTCTGTATTGCAAATTACATCTCAGAAATTGGCTGTTCTTTCTCTTGCCTGGGCCTGGTCTTCCTTCTTATTTTCTCTCTGCATATTCCCTTTCCTAGCAGGTTGCCTACCCTTCCTTGATGCAAACAGACTCCTTGTGTCTCTGAGGTAAATTCTTCTAGCAAATGCCTTTCTAGGAAAAGGTTCAGATCAGCCTCGTGGTGCAGTCTCTACTGGAGAGCGATGGTGCCTTCCCTGTCTGCAGGGCCTCAGCAGGAGCTGTGGGCTCAGGAGCTGGGTTTGGTGAGGGGCTTTAACACATTGCAGTGTGCAGAGCTCTGATGTGTGCAGATCTCAAAGTAGTGCTGTTACTGGGCTGGCAAGGGTTTGTCAGGGTGAAGAGAGAGGCGAGAATGTTGACCTCATGTTCAGAAGGCTGCATTTATTATTTTATGCTATATATTACATTAAGACTATACTAAAAGGAATAGAGAGAAAAGTTCTCAGAAACTAGCTACACTAAGAATAGAAAAGGAATGAATAACAAAGTTCTGTGTCCAGGCAGAAAGCAAGAACAGCTCTGCCGTGAGTGGTCAGTAAATCCAAACATTCACCCAAGACCAATCACGGATGCACCTGTTGCATTCCACAGCAGCAGATAACCATTGTTTACATTTGTTGCTGAGGCCACAGCTTCTCAGAAAGAGGAAAAATCCTAAAGAAAGGATTTTTATGAAAAGATGTCTGTGACAAGTGTTGTCCCTATGGCTCTGCTGACTGATACAGTTCCAGTCCTTGCCTAAGGATTTTCTTTCAACAGCCATCATCAGTTGATACTTAGGGGAGCAAAGACATCATCAGGGACTTAAATTCTGTGCAGTTTTGAGCTTCTTAGCCAAGGGTATGGAGTTGTCATCATTGCTATCAAGGGTAAAGACTTCTGTCTTAAAGGCAGAACTCTTGCTTCATGATAAAGAGTTAACTAGCAGGAGTTTCTTGTGCTATTTTAAAATATATAACTTTTTAGAAGGTATTTTATCTCTGTAACTGCAGAGGAATATAAGTTAATCATTAATGTAAAAACCCAGATTAAATGTAGAAAAGATGATGATGAAGTATAAGCCACTTTGCTGATGTGGGATTGTGTGGATCTTCTGATCATTTATAGAAAAATACATGTGATCATTTTGACTTGAATGAGCTACTTCAAGAGTTGCCAAGAAAGCAGAAAGAAGTGCTATGGCAGAGACTGACACAGCTGCTGACAGAGAGCTTGATGGAGAACCCTGTGGAAACATGGCACAGGACTGGAGATGATAAAAATGATGATGACATGGAAGTTGAGATAGTTCCAGAAATGGTAAGAATCTTGTAAAATGAAAACATGTTGAGTGTTTTGTGTTTTTTTGGGAAATAAAATGGAGGATTTCCATAACATCTGAAAGCATGCAAGGGGTTTATGAAATGAGACCAGTTCCAAATATCACCTTCCTGCCCATTTTTTAAAAAGGCTTAATTTATGCTCATGTTAAGCTGAACTTATAATTGGTCTGTGCTCTAAAAGACTAGCTCTGCTGATAATTTAAATTATGAAAGATGTGACTTAGTTTTCTCAGTAGAGTTGAATGGGCTTTTTCTATGTCTTATGTTAGTAAACAAATGTTAATGTTGCACATGTTAAGTTTAAGTAGCTGGCCCATAATTTAAGAAATTCACTACCTGATTTTTTTTTCACTATCTCATTTTATTTGATGAACATCATGAAATCTAGATTCAACTGTGCCTTCCACAAATTTAGAATACATAGAATTCTATGTATTCTAAATTTGTGGAAGGCACAAATTTAGAATTTTCTGTACTGTAGTCTATGTAGCCTTGAGAATACTGGGGGAAAAGGTTATTTAATTTTGGGGGGAAGAAAAGAAATGCAGTGGGGAAATCATTAGAGAAACCTAGAGGCTTGTAGAAAAATCAGTCATCTGTTCAGAGGCCTGTAGAATCAACACTTGGAGTGAAATTCACCAGGTGTACATCTCTGAGTTACACATGACCCTGCTGGTTAGGGCTTTTCAGCTCTGAAAGGGATGTGTGTTTGAGTGGGATTGTTGCAGGTGAGGATTTTAGTGCAGTAATGGAAACACATGCACAGTCTCAAAGTTATCTACTAGCTGGAGCTGAAAACCCTTTTCAAACTTTTTGAAAAGATGTACTTTAAAATATATTCTTTTTCCTCTTATTTGAAAGGTTTTGGGTGCCAGTATGCTCGTTCTTCAGAAAGGAATCATAATAACAATTCAGCTTTGCTCTGTGTTGCTAAGGTTCATTTCTTGTTTGAGTTATTTTTGAGTCCAAAACAACCTGCAGAAGTGTTTCCTCAGCATTGCTTTCTTTCAGAAACAGACTGTAGCAGTGATCCAAGGAGTGGCAGCTGTCGTTATTGCTTCCATACCTGCCGTGGATGAAAATGTAAACTACAAAGCTCTTGTAGAATGTGTGTTTATCCTAAATGGTGAGTGCTTCTCTGTACAGAATGCTGCATTTTACAGAGGCTGTTTGATCTGACTGTGAAACAGAATTCACAAGAGAAAAGTTGGTACTGGTTTGAGTTCATATTTATGAGACAAAATTAAGGCAATGTTTACCTATCAGCTGCACAATTTAGAAGTTGGAATGCAAATAGTTTTCTTTCTCCCAGCAGTTCACCCAGTGGAAGGTAACTTTGATTATCCTGTGATTTTTATTACTTTTAAGGGAAACTCAATATTCCATTGTTACTGATCCAAAAACTTGGGCCAAAGCTTAGAGTTGCCTAAATACTGCAGTGAGCATGAGCCATGGAAGTGTGTAAGTGTGGCAGGAGCTAACAGACTGCTGTTTTACAGGAATGACTTGGTTCATTGCAGTAAATAATTATGCCATTACTCTTGTAGGTATCCTTCCTGCATTATCTACATCTGAAAAAGTCCTACAGGACGCCATCCAACGTGTGTGTGAAATGTGGTGGGAGAAGGGACTGGAGGGGAAGGAGCAGCTGGGGAAGACTCTGTTTGTCATTCTGCTGAGGAAAAGCCTGAATAAAGCTGCTATGGTAGGCTGAGGCTGTGTTGAGGCTATGTTCAATAATAACTTTCAGGTTATTATTGAATATTTCAAGAGAGATAATCCCTCCAATAAAACACTGCCTTCTCTAGGATAAATTTTAAAGGTTTTTGGCATCAGTTTCACAAGTGTACTGGATTTTAATTTTTTTGCATTCCTTTTAATCTTTTCACTCTTTTGTCCAGCTCAATGGCCAAGGTTTTTATTGTAATTAACTTTTTGTCAACTCAGATATTAAGTACTATGTTCAGCTAAGCATAGAAACAGCTTTTTTGGGAAGCTTCATTTTCTCTTGCTTTTTATCTTTCTACAAATAATTTTTCTTTCATTTTTCAAAATGTTTGAGTTACTTGGTGCATTGTGATACACATTTTTTGCACTAATTCAATGGATGTATCCTTATTTCTTTCTACTGTTTTTTCCCTGTTAACTGCATGTACTGTATAAAGTTTAAAAAGTGCAATGATGTGGTTTTAACATATTTTGCATGGAATGGCAGCTTTTTGTCTAGAGCATTTCTTGAGCATATCTTCATTTGTTGGAAGTCAGAATTTTTGCAGTTACATATATTTTTCCCAGTAATTTGATGAAATGAATATTCATAATTTCACAATCTGTAACAATGCATTTCAAGTTCATTATTTGAAATCCTTTCAATGCAGCTTTGCATTAAATCAAAGCTTTTTGCATTAAAGCAAAGCTTCTCCAGTCTAATGTGGGCTTCTTATTCCCTGTCAGGGTGCAGATATAGTTCGTGTATGGAATCTACATCAGACATTACTTTGTTTTGATTATGATTCAGATGAGAGTAATGAAGTCAAAGACTTGTTGCTTCAGTGTTTTATGAGTGTAAAACACATTAAGAAAGAAGAGGTAAGCCAGCTTTTATCTTACTGTGGTTTTGTGCCAGTGAGCTTTGGTTGCTTTTAATAGTTCTGCAGTTTGTCTTTTTTTATAGTACAGTAGGTAGCAACATGAGAGAAATCAGCTCTGACTCCAAGCTATAAATGGTTGATACTGTTTCATTTGGAAAACTTGTTTCTATTCCAGACTAAAGTGTGAAAGTTTATGTCTAAATCTTCAGTTCTTTTATCCTGAGGCAATAAGAATCAAGTGCTTTGCTTCCAGTGCATTTCCCTCGATACTTTAAATCATTCCCTGGTGTAATTCTTTTCTTTTCTTTTATAGCAGTTCTTCTTTTATTCAAGACAAGTAACTGTAGCAAAATAATTTTCCTTCTAAATGACTTCATCTAGAAGATTGTGTTGCCATATTCTCTTTTAAAAGTAGCATAAAAAGAACCCAACTTGACAGAAAAATAAGAATTACTTTATTTAACTACACAGATTTCTCTCAGTGAGCAGCTGCTGTTTTGTTGTTTAGATTGTGCCTGTGCATGAGAATTGTGGCATCCAAGCCTTTTTTCTGGTTAGGTGACCAGACCACATTACTTTGTCTCTGAAGTTCTATCTCTTCCCTGCATATGTATAATAGATATATTCCTTTTCCTGTGGAATACATGAAATTCTGTCATAAAATGAGCTCTGAGTTTGGTGCATGGTGGCATATGTCATATTAAAAATGGAGTAGCAAAGGAATTGGGTGAAATGGTTGATAGAGCAGGGTTTGGATACCTGCCACAAAGTTGGTGGGGTTTTGGTTACTTACATATCATATTTTAAGCTGTTTTAGTTTTGACTAAAATAATGATGTACCAAGGTAATATGAGAGGTGGGAATGGAAGAAGAGAAAATGTGGGTGGAAAGAGGAAAGGTAGGTAAGGCTTTATTGACAGAGTTCACAATTAATTTTGTGTCCTTGGTGTATTTCATTTTAAGCATTTTTTGCCCTCTGGAAAAAGTGTGTACCTGTGTGTTCTTTGTCACAGTACCTAAAATGCATTATCTATATTTCATTCTGTATTTTTTTCTGTTTTATTTGAATCCACTGTATTATTTTAATATTTCATCTTCATATAGGCACAGTAAATGATTGGCAATTACATATGTAAAATACAACTGCTATCTAGGCTTTAGATGTAAATTATTGTAGTTCTTTTTTTCTTCCACATTGTGTGAGACTTTTAGTAGAACATGTTAATTACTACACAGCTTTTCTGAAGGAAGTTTGCACCTTGAATCTTTGAGTGAAAGAGTATAAAATTGACGTTTTATTGTGGGATTTTTTTAAATATTGGGGGGAAAGTAGGCTAAAAATCAGACTCAATAATGTATATTTTTCCTGGCATATTAAAGTGAAAGTTTATGTCTGCACAAGAATGTGCAGTTTTGGCCGTGCTTTGCACATTTTGCTTCCCTGCACAAGATTTTTCTCTTTGTTCTCCCAAGGATTTCTGGTTCTTGCCATTTTGTCACCTTTGCGTTATCATTATGCATTAATTGCCTGTCTCTTTCTAGGTAGATCTAGAGAGCACCTTACTGCACTCTCTGCTCATTAATAGTTTAGATCCTGAATTGTGGATTCTTTGCTTTCTGGCTGGAAGCACTGACTGAAAGCAGCAGCTCCCAGCTGGAGCCAAAGGGCTCAGCCTTGGCCAGCGGTGGGGCTGCCTTGGAGCCCACTGGCTTTGGCTCTGCCAGCACAGGGAGAGCTTCTGGCAGCTTCCCACACAAACCACCTCTGCAGCCTTCCACCTCCAAAACCTTGCTGTGCCAGCCCCATACACAAGGCACTTTACATCCTGAAGGATAATAGTTCAAAATAAAAGGAGAACCATAACCCATTGTGGAAAGATCCCAGGACAGGGTTCAGTTAAATTAAGTGTGTGAAATAAATCTAGACATCTGTGCAGGAGCATAATCAGTACAGGTCCTGGGAAGGATTTGATTGCTTAAGTGAATGACCCATGCTGCATTAAATGACCTAAGCTGCCTCAGACATCCAGGTGGGGCTGGCACATAAAGCACTGTCATAGATCTCTGCCTTCTGGAAAACCATCTGGGCATGTGAAATTGCTCTGTGTGTAGGGTGTGCCATATTAACCCCAGTCAGCAGAGTCAACAGAACAATTCAGCTCCATAAAACAGTAACTAAACAGCTGATCACATAAAACACTCTTCAGACAATTAACATTTCAGGGACTTAAACATCCAAATTTACATGTCTCAGTTTGTGAGCAGAAATCCAACTTCACTGTATGAACTTCCAGTACTTACCCAGAATGGTAACCAACTTGGATGTTCCTAGCTCTGCAGACAGGAGATTGAAAGTGTTCAAAGCATTTTTCTGTTGCTGTGAGGCCATTGTACCTCAGTTGCAAGTCCTTTTGTTTGGGATTTGTGTGCTGTGGGAGTTCAGTTGTGGTAACACACCTCATGTATGTTCTCTAATTTCCCTTCCTGGTTCATTTCACTAATGTTGGATTTCTTGTAGCAACAAGAAACCAACCAACACTCCCCCAGTATCTCTGCTGGACATTTTTTTGCATCCTGTATTGCTTCTAAAATGCATGTAGTAACACCAAGTATCAACATGATGCATGAATTGCTTTGAGTTGAAAGTGAGCTTCTGTGTATCAGGCCTAGTACTCCCTTTAATGCCTGCAGACTTGTTCTGCAGTTCCTCAGAAAAGTAATCCTGGATTTTCAGAGTACATATCCCAGAGTACCATAGTAGCTTAAGCTGCTGTAACTCCAGATTGCAATGATCCTGTGTTGCCATGGAATAGCATTCCTCTTTTCCTTTTCACAGTGTAATGTTCAAGCAGCAATATTGTGGGTTGATTAAAGGAGGTGGCTGTTTTCTCCTAGTGAGATTATTTTTCAGACAGATTAACTGTCTGGAATGGTTCATCATATGCAAGACTGAAGGAAGGGAAGGGTCAGGAATGCAGTGTATCCATTCTAAATCAGATTAAACCAATAGAGAACTGCATTTATTACACCTCATTGCAAGATCAGGGAGTTCAGTGTTTCTGCCTTCCCAGGCTGTGCTGTTTAACACACAGTAATATTTCTCAGAGGCTTATCATTAGTGGAGTGATCCTCTGAATTTGTCTCTCTGTGATTTATGAAAACATTCTTGTTCAGATGGGGTTTCCAGTCAAACAGCTGCAGAGCATGTTCCTGTGTTTTACAGGTGAGTCTCTTGTGCTCTTTCCTTGCTCACCTTCTGTGTGAAGGTGAGCAAAGTCATGTGCTCTGTGTCCACCAGCACAGCAGTACCAGGCACCCAACACTGATACTGCATTCCCAAAGATGACAGGTCACAGTCTCATTTACCTACCACCAGGTTATCTCTCACAATAATGAGAATGCTACCAGTAATTATTGCAGATCCATTAATCACAAGCAGCAGATTAAGCTAGAGGCACTTATCATTTTCAGGAGCTGGCTCAATCTTTTAAAACCTAAGGCTAAAAAGAATTGGTTGAAAGCTATTTTTTTGGCTTTTTGCCATCTGTTTTGCTGCTGGGGTTGTAGAAGATGAGATGAGTTTGAGTTTGTCCTTATCCTTGCCTTGTTGAGGAAAGAACTGTAGGTCAAAACTCCCTTGACCTTTTGTTTTGTCAGGGATGTTGATGTGTGACATGCCAAGGGGGACTCCTCTATGTTTATAGAGACAACCCTTGTTGAGTTGGGAAAGTTTCCACCAGACCTGAAGCCTAAAATCTTGACACTGTATTTAGCCATTAGGTCTTGATTTCCATGAGCTTCTGAGTTACTTCTTCACCCAAAGGCATTTCAGCTACCAATTCACTACAGGGCAGTTTCTGACTGACTGTGCTTCCATCTCCCTCCCCTACTCTGGGAGATTCCAACTCCAAGTGAATTCCAACTCTTGGCATTTGATTTTCTCTGTTTGGTCCTAGGTGTGAACACAATTCTTGGCCCAGCTCTCAATGGAAGTGGCTCTGAACCTCTGCTCTTTATTCAGTAACCCTTTTGCACTTCTGTCAATGTGCTCTTTACTATTGCACTTCCTTTATTAATATTCCTAATTTATTTGTTGCTAGAAAGCTGAGAGATACAAAGGACCCTTACAACTGACTCACCATTACGTGTGATCAGACATTTTGAACTCTTACCTTCACCTGTAAGCTAAGTCAGAGTGAAGCTGCCTGTACAGATACTGTATAAGGCTACAATTCCTTGGACAGATCTTGCTGATTCTGGCTGATCATTGGCTTATTTCCTTCATCCACAGCCTTTTGTTACAAAATTCTATTGCTCATCAGATTTGTCATCATTGTTCCTGACTTGTTAAAATGGATTGGGAAAAATAGTTTCTGTTTTCATGAATGAAAGCAGCTCCAGGAGGCTCACAACATTACCTTTCATGTGGCAGGAGGAAAGGAATTGTCCTTGCTGATCAGAACATTGAATTTCCTCAGTGGCCCAGCTGTTCTCTGTGGCTTGGTTAAAATTGTTTTTGCATGCAGTGCTGGTGTTGCAATGACTTGATGAGGGTTCTGCAGGGTGAGAGAGATAGACGAGATCTTGCTTCATGATCAGAAGGCTGGATTTATTAATACATGATGTATAATACATTATGACTATACTAAAAGGAATAGAGAGACAAGTTGCAGAAGCTGCTAAGCTAAGAATAGAATAGAAAAGAATGAATAACAAAGTTCTGTGTCCAGCAGAAAGCAAGGACAAACTCTCCCATGAGTGGTCAGCAAATCCAAACACTCACAGAAGACCAATCACAGATGCTCCTGTTACATTCCACAGCAGCAGATAATTATTGTTTACATTTTTCTTCTGGGGCCCCAGCTTCCCAGAGAGGATAAATCCTAAAAGAAAGGATTTTATGAAAAAATGTCTGTGACAGTGCTGGTAGAGTTGTGATGTTTTATTTATGCCTTCAGCATCATTTCAGTGTCACCCCAGGATGATGTTGGGATATTGGCACTTGGCAGAGCTCAGTGCTGCAGCCTCCATGGGGGTGCTGACTGCACAGTGTGCTGCCACTCTGGAATGCTGCTCAATTGAAGGCACACCAAACCAGAAAGGACATGGAAAGAGTGGAGGCAGATATGTGATCCATGTGTTCATTTGTTCTGTGTTCTTTCTACACTATGAATAAAAGGAGTGCTTGAATTCTTTTTAATAATTAAGAATCTTAAATAATTTTTTCCATTTCACCTATGCATTTTAAAATTAAAGATGTAATTTCCTTTTTATTTGCTGATTTTTGAGGTAGCTCTTAAATTGCATATTCTTCAGACCTTTGAGTTCTCTTTGTTTTTTCCTCTTTTCCCCTCCCCACAGGGAAGAAGACTCTTGAGTTTTTTGTTCACGTGGAATGTAAACTTCATTAAAATGATACATGGAACTGTTAAAAACCAATTACAGTTCTTTCCAAGGTATGCATCCCAGTAAGAGTACTTCATTAGTAAGAGCTTGTCTAAAATCTTGTTTATCTCACTCTAAAAATACCTAGTGTATTGAAAAAATATATCAATAACCAGAAACCCACAAATCTTCTGAATATTACTGCTATATTGTTTCAGCAACTTCATTTAATAGGAGCTCTGACGTGCCTGGTGTACAGTTATAGGAGCAGTAAATGTTGATTTACCATTAGCTAAAGCAAATGACTTTGGTTAGAAATTGGACTGCATTATTTGCAGTGCTTGTGTGAGGGTTGCAGGTCCCTTTCTCCTTTGGTAGCGTGTTCCTATTTTTTCCTACAAGCAATCTCTAATTGAATTTTCTAGGTTTCTATATAAGGCATTCTAATAAGAAGTGACTTTCAGGATAAATCATAGCCTGAGAACTTGGCTGATGGATGAAAAATATGGAGATGTTTTTTCCTTTGATTTTTCAGTGAAGTATTGCTGAAGTAATTCTGTGTATTAAAATCAGAGGCTTTCTAATGCTTTCATGTAGAATAATATATTCTTGTACATGTCTATAAAGAATTCCAGGCATTCTTCATGACATAACTGGTAAAGTATCTCTCTGAATGTTTTGATTCTTCCCACCATAGGAGATATTTCAAGTATCATGTAATAGTGCTTGTGTTCATTAATTAAGAGTTAACTTGGTAGTTATGGGTGTAGACTTGAAAAAGAGATTTTCTTCTAAAAACCAATTTGATGCACAGAATTAAGAAGAATATTGGTTCTTATACAAAACTTCATGTTTCACCTATATGAATTGTGCATAGGTATGGTTAGTATGCTTTCTTGACAGTGTTTCCTCTGTTAATACAGATCCTTGGTGGAATGCATTTCAGAAGTTTACTTCAGGGCCTGGAAGAAGGTGTCAGGAGAATTCACAGAGGTAACATTATACTTGAAATTTCATTTGGATAGTTTTGAATTTCAGGGTGGGAAAGACTCATGACTTTCCAGCAAGAGAGGTTCCTTTAACAAGCCTTAAAGAATTATTTCCCTAAGGAAAGGGCCTCTTCAGCATTGTCAAGGAGTAACTGTAGGTCATGCTTTGAATGTTTTCCCACTGAGATCGGCTTGGCTGCAGTTAAACACCTTTAATTCTGCTGCTGAAATACTGGTTCACACAAATATGCATATGCACAATGTTTTTCATAAAAATGCCTGTTAACTGAATTACTGAAGCTTTCATTCAGCATGTGCAAGTCTGTATAGTTGATAGCTCAGGTATTTATCTAGTTTTTGTGGATTTCCATGGAAATTATTAAAGGCATAATTACAGATCACAACAATGCTAGAGCAAAATTTCAGATACCAAAGTACTTTTATTTACCCTTCTTTTAGCTTCTGACAATTGGATTAATTCTAGATTCTGAAATTTTGATAATCAGTTGAGGCAGACTGAGGGCCCCAGCATGGAAAACTTTGGGCAAGGCAGAAGCTAAGTAAGAAATAACAGCAGGTACTATTTTCAGTTGCTTGTTTTAGGGAAAATATAGTTGCTGAACAGCTACAGTACTTATTCTTGTTTTATTGTGTTAACAGGAGCATGTGTGTGTTTTACTGTAGGTACTTGAATATAACTGCATTCAGGATTTCATGCATCATGGAATTCATCTTCCCAGAAGTTCTTCTGTTCATTCCAAAGTTAGAGAGGTAAGTTCCAGGAAAGCATGACATGAACTAGTAGCATCAAAATGAGATCAGTTGCTATAAAGTAGAAAATGTCCATTTCATACTAAAATACCACACCAGGTGTGGCTGGGATGGAAATACTTTCATTATTAGAGGGCTGTGTTTGGGGTGTGCTGGTGGCACAGCAGTGTTCTGGCTGCTACTGGTTTCAAGGCTTTCTCCTCTCCATGTTTTCCCTTGGGATTGGGCTGGGCATGAGCAAGGAGTTGCGAGGTCACAGCTGAGACAGCCGACCCAAACTGACCAGAGGGATATTTCATACCACACAACATCATTCCCTCAGCAAACAGAGAAAGTGGGTTTTGGGGAGGCAGCCATTGCTGAAATGCTGGCTGAGTATTGGTCTGCTTGTGGCAGGTGGTGAGTGGTTGCATTTGCATCACTCCTTTGGGGATTTTTTTGATCCTCTTTGCTTCATTTATTAAACTGTCCTTATCTTGACCCATGAACTTGCTTTTCTCTTCCAATTCTTTTTCTTCCCCACTGAGCAGGGAGTGTTTGTCACAGACATTTTTTCATAAAAATCCTTTCTTTTAGGATTTGTCTTTTCTGGGAAGCTGAGGCCCCAGAAGAAAAATGTAAACAATAATTATCTGCTGCTGTGGAATGCAGTAGGTGTGCCTGTGATTGGCTCATGTTCCATGTTTACAATTAAGGGCCAATCACAGGTCCAAGCTCTGGAACAGATTCACAGAGAACTCTCTTGTTTTTAGATTCTATTCTATTCTTAGCTTAGCAGCTTCTGCAACTTTTCTCTCTATTCCTTTTGGTATAGTCATAATGTATTATATATCATAAATTAGTAATTCCAGCCTTCTGATCATGAAGCAAGATTCTCGTCTATATCTCTCACCCTGAGGGACCCTCACAAGTTGCTGCAATAAGTGTGTGCATGGCTGTGGGTGTTCAGCTGGTGACTAGGGCCAACCCACCACAAATACTTAAAAAATAGCATATTCTGAGAAATAATGTTAGAACAAATTATAGGAGGAACCTGCTTATAGTTTTGCACCAGATTTGTCTTTGCTGCTCAAAAGTAGAGGGGAATTTTCCAGAGCGTCAGGAATACTTTTTGCTGCCTGTTGTCTAAGCTTTCTTTACCTGTAGGATTGACCTTTCCATAGATGATCTCAGGGATGAACAGTCGTAACCTTCTTGAGGCAAACTTAGTGATGGGTCTGAAATGAAGCTTGGCTTTTTTCTTTTGATTGTGTGTAGGGGATTTATATAGGTTTATAGGGACAAGCTTTGATTCTAGTTGTCTGTGGCTTTGAGTCATGAGCAGAGCATTTGAAGCAGAATGAGAAGTGCACAAGCCTCTTTAAGACATTTATATTTGATCAATGCCCCTTCCCCTCCCATGCTTGCTCCAAATACCCGGACTCTAGAGTGCATGCTGTGTGCAATATTCAGCTTGACATACCAGTGTACAATGCTGGAGTGGCTTTTTTGTTTGTTTTGGTTTGCATTTTTTAGGGTTGGCTTTTTAGGGGGTTTGTTCTGTTTTGTTTTCTCATAGCTATAGGATTTCTTTGTCCTGTGATGCCTGATTGATGGAGCAGGCTTCTCACAGGGCATTTCATGTTTTTCAGACTCTGGGGCTTATGATCTTGAAAGAGGACAGTGAATAAATGTCTTTGGGCTGCAGGAGTAGGTCTTGGAATAAATTTGAACTGACCACCAGAGGGTCAGCTTCTTTTCAAATTTTGTGTAATCTTGTATTCTGTTTTCCAAGATCTTCAGAGAATTATCAGTGCTGTATTGATCAAGGCCAGAAATGTTCAGAGAATCATCTTATCTCACTTTCTGATTAATTACCAACCTTAGAACACAGCTCAAACTGCTCAGTGTTTCAAAGTGGAGGAATTCTTGAAATCAAGTTACATTATGTCCTTTCTCATATTCTGCTCTGGTTTTCCACTTTCTTTTCTGCATAATTCAGATGCAGAAAATAACAGGATTTTTAGATAATTAGGCACAGTTTTGAGTCTCAAAGAGTGCTGATACTTGCTTTTCATCAATGCATAAAAAATGTATTAGGTTTGTACGTGTGTATTTGGGTAACTCCACTTACCAGATAAGTTCCTTTGTTCTTAACAGAGAAAAAGTTTATTTATCTGTAGTTCATAATTCCATGGCTTCAAAGTGTTTCTGCCAGTAACTTTAAAAATTATTTTTATAGTAACAAAAACGAGGTGTTGGTGTGCAATTCTTTAGCCATGTTTTTTTTCTTAGTTGTAGATCTTTATATAAACTTAATGACTATAAAATTATAAAATATTGTATTTATTAGATTGTTTTAATTTTACTGTGTTTGAGACTTCTCTAATAAGATACAGGGTCAATTATCATGTTTAGTTTTATCATTTTCATATTATGAAAACTCTGGTCTTATATAATTATGAAATGCATCAACTCCTTACCACTTCCTGAATGTAGAATGTTAACATTGGCTTTGGGTCCTGTTTTATTTTTTTTTTCTTAGATGCTGAGTTATTTTCATAAACAAAGTAAAGTCCGTCAAGGAGTTGAAGAAATGCTCTATAGATTGTATCAGCCCATCCTCTGGAGAGCACTAAAGGTAATTATCCTTTTCAGAAAATACAAATGTCTTTCTCCTGCTATTAAATTTTGGGTGCCTTCCACATCTTATGTTTTTATTATTTGATTTTAAAATGGATGGCCACAAAAACCAAAATGAGTCTTTAACATCACAGATGTAGCTGAGCAACTAAAGTTGTAATTAGGCATAGCATGCACAATAATGTTCTAATTTGTTAATGTAATTTACTTGTAACATCCACTTTTGTTTACAGGTACCTAGAGTGCTTTCCAGGGTTGCAGTTGGCATTCTTATCTTCTCAGTCTGAAAATTCTGTGTAATTTTGTATTATCTTCTCCAAGATCTTTAGGGAATTATCAGAGTTTTATTCATCAAAGCCAGAAGTGTTCAGAGGTTTAGTCTCACCTGTTGATTAACTACCAGCCTAAGAGTACATCTGAATGAATTTATTGGAGTATTAATTTAGGAAAACTTTTATTCTAGTTGGATTGTATGGACAGACATTAATGGTATGGATGTGCACTCAGAATGAAATTTCTTATTTGTAGTTCTCTCATGGTGTGTGTGTCCTTCTGTGGATTGCATGCATGGACTAAAGGGGACCCACTGCAGTTTGTCTGCTCAGTTACACTCTGCGATCAAGAGGAGCCAAGCTTCCTTCTTTGTGACAGCTTTTATTTTGTCTGAGGTTATGAAATCCCTGTTTGGGAGAGTGCACACATACAGCCAAGTTAATTTCTGGCAAACATTTACAATTTCATTTACTGGTTGGTCATAAGCATCTTCTCTAGGCGTGAGAAAGTTATTTGAAATTCTCAAAGTTGAAAGTATTTACTATTAACTTCAAAAGTTGTTTATAATGGATTTTATGAGTCGCAGGAAAGAGTTGAGAGCTGTTTGGTTTCAACAGAACCCTGTGGTAGAGGTGGAAATATGAAAAGTCATTGCTAGCCCAGTATCTTGTTTGGTCTTACATTAAATCTTGGGTCCCATCCTTTTAGAATTTATATAAACTAGGACCCTCTGGATGAAACGTTTATTTCCCAATGCTAGAGAATGATAGCTACAAAGCATGGCTTCCTGCATGGCTTCCATTGCTGTCTCTTAAAAGAATAGAGGTTTTAACTGGTTTTTGGTAAGTTAACAAAATGCACTGTTCCATTCTTAAGGGAGTTGCTGCCTGTCAGTGAAGGGTTGTAGTCACTTGCCAAAGGCCAGGACTCAGATGTGAGACTAGACTGCTTTTTGGAGGAAGATTCTGTCAAACCTTATGAAATCTGCATACATTAATTTGGAGGAATGTGACAGAAGGTGTGTGATCTGGAAAAAAAGGTTACTGATTGATTTGCAGCAAGACAATGGGAGAATTCCAGGAGATTCCACAAGTAGCTGAAGTTTTTAAGAGCTGTTACTCATAATTTTCACATCACTAATGGTTCCATGGCTGGAACAAATCATGTAATACTGCATGAAGTGTTTGGTGGTTTGAACTGTGCTGTGACTCAGAATCACCAGTAGTTTAAAATACAGAGCTAAGAAGGGAAGCTTGTAACTGTTCTTATAACTGTTATGGATTCTACTCCAAAGCTTGAAGTGTCAGTTTAATTTTAGATAACTAGTTTGATGCTCCTTTTTTAGCCAAATCCCTAATTTAATATAGTGAAGAACAAATTCTGTTCTAGAATACTGTTTATAAAACGAAGGACACACAAGGCCTGTTTACTCCTTCTTACAGAGAGCAAAAATACTTCAGTTGCAAGAACACAATGAGTTCCAGAACTGTGGATGCTGAAACTACTTGATTTCATCTCTGAAATCTTTAAATTGAGAATGCACATTTTGTAATGCAGTTCTCTGTTTTTTCTTCAATTGCTTGTTTTGCAAGTAATTAGATTGCACAAGGTTCTGTTGGGGCTTTTACCAGCACATTTTTATAAGCCTTTATGCAACTCTTAAGTTTTTATAATATAAGCCCATATGTAACTTCTTCATCTTTTTTCATGTTCTTATTATGAAAAGCAAGAGTCATACAAACATAAGAGATGTGCAGTGATCGGTTGTTAGTATGAGAAGATATATGGATATAAAAATACAATTATCTAGTGTAAGTAGTGATTAAGCTATTTCTTATCAAGCTGAAAAAGTCAAGAACCACTCCTCCAGGAATTCAAGCTGTTGAAGGAAGTGACTCCTTTAAAGTGTTTGGTTGTCTTTTTTAATATTTTTTTTAACATCCCACACATTTAAACTAAGATGTCCTGGGAGAGCAGTGTTTTAAATAATTTGAAGTTAATTTCAGAATCTGTAAGACCAGTTAAAGTTTAAAAGAAAGCTGTGAAAATTAACTGAAGAAAAAACTAAATTATGGTTTTAAAAGGTTCTGGAAATTCCTCAGAATAGTAAAAGCATAATGGTAAAAGAAATATTAGTTATTTAAATTACTGCAGGCTCTGGCATGGAAAAGTCAGTGTGGATTAAAACAGACCATGAATTTAAACTCTTAGGTTCTACCTCTGTGAAGACATTGTACAAGCCTGAATATGCAAATACATGTGGGATAAATTCCAGTTAATTAAAGGCAGGAATTTGAACTGTGGGTACTCAGTTCAGAATTAAAAGTGAGCTTCATAGAATTCAGTGTAATGCACTTAAAAAGTTTATGGAAATTAACTTTCTGGAATGGTTGTGGTAGACAAGGTCTAGGTTGTTGCACAAAACCACATTTGAATTAATTTTCACATGCAATGTTGGTGCAGAAGAGCTATTTCACCCTGAATTCCCATATTATCTTGTTATGTGTTAATTCTTAAATATAGACAGGCTCAGAGTTAAAGGATTTTCTATAACTTTATAGGATAGAATTAAGAATTAGGTCTTGTCACCTTTTAACTGTTTGCATTATCCATAGTAAATAAAGGAAAACACAAGTCCCTAACTAAAGAATGTATGTGTGTGCTTTGTTTGCTTTTGTAGTATCCAATTTCAAATTCCTAGTAATTTTGTTGACTTGAACAATTTGGCATGTTATGGTCCTACTCCACCATATCAGGCTTGGTCAAGAAGAGAAACCTAAACCAGATTGTAAATGAAATAATTGTTACTGTTGTGGTTTTTTCTGGTTTGATTTGTCATTAGTTTATTTAAGTCTAAATATTACGTGGTTGTTGCCACGTTCCTTTTCCCTGCTTTGATCTCAATGTGCTTTATGACAAGGGAAGAAGATAATTAAATTATTAACATAGTCAAGAATTTCCCTGAACTCTCTCATCTTGCTGTTAAAATAAGGCCTACTTTGCTTGTTATATTGAGAGCTTTTATTTTTTTATTGGACACAAGATCTGGACAAAATTCTTCCTTCCAAGTCTCCTTTCCAAGAGAAGTCCATAGAAGCTCTTCATCACTGCACTGCTATCTTTGATAAATAAAATGTTGTTTGGTGGTTAGATTTCAGCTTTCTCATTGAGATGCCTTGAACTTCTTCATGGTTGCATTTCCTGCTCTCTTTTTGTGTCCTTTAAGAGTCCACAGCATCAATTATCTTTCACTCAATGATTGTCTAAATATACACCTTTTTCTTTTCCCTTTTTTGTGTTTGTGTCTGTATAACCAGTAAAATACACGATGGAGTACAGTGAAAATTGTTGAATGTGGTAAAATGTTGTGAGGCTTCCCATAGATTTTTGATGAGCTGCCTGGAGCTCAGAACATGGTCCTAATCCTTATGTGCAGGGATGCAGAAGTGAATAAGTTTTTGCTGGATAAGTTACGCTCCAAGCTTTCTGGTACTTAGTCACTAAATGCTGTTTTCTTGAAGAAACAGGCTTGAGCTTTTCAATTAAATCACCTGTCTCTTGACAAGCAAGTTAATTAAACCAGTCTGATTGAATTCAAGAGTCTTCTGTCCTGAAGAGGAGCTGTAAGGCCACCAAGAGAAATCCCAACTGCTTTTAAATTATTCACATTACAGAAAGCAGAAGGACTCTGACTGTGATTGCTCAGGGTCGTTGCAGCTGATGTGCTTTGAAAATTGATTGTAACAATAACTCAGGTTTTACTGAATGGGCAGAAACGTAAGATAAAACATTAAAACTCTTATGTGACTTTAAGTTCTTCCATCCATTTGTAAATTAATCTCTTCCATCTGCTTAATTAAAAACACTTGTTGAAATGTTTGGAGAACAGTATTTGACAGGATACACCTTTGGGTATTAACAGTTGATCCTTATAGAAAAAATATCTTTTCTCCATTGTAACAGGCCAGAAACTCAGAAGTTCGAGCAAATGCAGCGTTTTTGTTTGTGGATGCTTTTCCTGTTCGTGATCCCAGTTTTACTGCTGAAGAGATGGACAGTGAAATTCAGAAACAGTTTGAAGAACTTTTTGTAAGCTTTAATGAAATTAAAATGTTAAAAATGAAACTATTGTCAGAACTAACTACAAAAAATTGTTGATGCAATTAAAATGTATGGAATTTCTGAATAATTGTAGGGAAATAGAGGTCTGTGGTACAGAAAATACAAAATTAAATTAATTTTTTAAATTTCTGTAGTATGTTTTCTGCAGATGCTATACACCACTTTAACCTCTAAAAAGGAAATATTTTGGTTTGTTATTCATTTTTCTGTGAATGAGAGATGCCTTTGAAAGATGAAATGCATGAGTAATAATCTTGATCCTTACTTAACCTAGGATTGTGGGGGAGAGCTTCACAGTTACTGTGGAAGCACTCAATCAAAGTTCAGTACTGTATTACTAAATACTTCTGAAATTAAGTATAATGGAGAGAACCTAAAAATCTCCTTACCAGTCCAGATGGGTTAGAATGAGCATACTATTTTAATTAAGAAAATGTTGGGGGATTCCTGAGTTCACATCATATAATTGAAAATTTCAAAGTTGTTATGTTGTTCCATAGGAACAGTGATCAGTGTAAACTCATATAAATAGAAATCCAGATTTTCTTAATTAAGTCACAAATGCAAGACTTGATTTATTTAAAAAGAAAAAATTCAAAACTCCAATGAAAAAACTTGGCCAGTAGTTACCTTAATTTTGCTTCTGGTTTAAATTTCCTGGTTTTCTTCATAGTAAAATTCCTTGTGGGACTATTGATATTACAGTTCTTTTATTGTATGACAGTTTTCATAATGATTAAAATGTAATGGAATGCATTTTGTTTATGATAGGCTCAGACCAAACAGCAGTAGAGTCACAATAACCCATATGCTCACAGTGTTGTTCTTCTGTTTGTTTTAGAGTCTCTTAGAAGATCCCCATCCAGTTGTTCGCTCTACAGGGATACTGGGAGTTACTCAGATCATATCCAAGTACTGGGAGATGATTCCTCCAACAATTCTTGCTGATCTTTTAAAAAAGATAACTGGAGATCTGGCATGTGATATAACATCTGCTGATGTTCGCTGCTCTGTTTTTAAAGTAAATGTTTTTTATCATGATTGTCATTTTTCTGTTTTACTTGATGTACAGGTTTCTAGTATAGGCCACTTTAAATCAAGGAAATATCTTGTTCTTCAAAATGTCTTAGGCAATAGAATTCCTCCTACACGGAGGTTTTGCACATTTCATAAAAGCCACCTGTTTGGAAAACACAAATGTCTTTTGAAATAGTAACTGATTGGCTTTCTGACTCTAAGGTATTCAATTCCAGTTGTACACAGACTGTTTGGACCCAATAATTAATTTTGTTTTAGCTATTAGAAATAACGCTTAGACTTGAAAATATATGTAGGCAGCTCTGAATTTCTTACATCACTGGCTTTAAAGCATCCCAAGGCATGCACAATTGGGATTTTGTATCCCACTTTGTGTGTCTGAGCTTTGGATGGATATAATTCCATAGCTGGTCTGGTGATGCCTCCTCCCATGCATTGCTCGCTATGTTAGAAATAGTTCATCTGCATCTTTCTGGCATGTGAGAAATAACTGATAGCTTGGACAGAAAAATGAACTCCCTAATCAACATTTGCACTTGAAGATTTTGTCTGTGTCAGTTCAGCCTTAAATTGAAGCTGTCATCCTGTTAATCCTCACTTGCTCCACTACTGCTTCATGGGGGAGCTATCCTGGATAAGCAGAAAGTGCTGATTTAAAAATTAATTATTAAAAAAAAAAGTATTTCTAATTTGAAATCAGCATATTTTAGAGAGCTGGTGTGTCTTCAGGCAGAGGGCAAGACCATGGTCTGAGTGTAGGTCTGAAGCTGATTCAGCTGAAGTGAGTTCACTGAACAGAGTTCACTGCAAATTTGAAGTAATCAAAGCAGATTTTACCAAAGAATATGACAAAAACAAGCATGCACAGTGTCTGCCCCTGCTTTGTTTAACATGACAAGTGTCGCAGTCCTCTTCAACAATTTTTAGCTACAGATTTTTCAGCTCCACTCTCTGGATTTGATTTTTTTATTTTAGTGCCTGCCAATAATTTTGGACAACAAACTAAGTCACCCACTCCTGGAGCAGCTCCTGCCTGCAACCAGACACAGTCTGCATGATAATTCTGAGAAGGTGCGAGTGGCTTTTGTGGAAATGCTGCTCAAAGTGAAGGCTACCAAGGCTGCCAAGGTAGGATAATGGTACTTGATAAGTAGCAAGGAGACAAAATCATGGCATGTATTAAAAAAAAAAAAAAGTACATTTTGAGACTGCTGCAGTGTTCTTAAAAAAGAAAGAACCTGCTTTGCTCTGGTAAGAATCTTAATATCTGTGGTATCCCAAGGGCTCTGTGGGGCCTTGTTCTCTCTGGATGGGCAGGGGAGAGCAGTGGGTCACAGCCACTTTCCTCAGCTGCCCAACTCTTCTAAATGCCTAACACCTTAACCCTAAGTAGCTTTTTTGCTCTGATTCTTCTATTTTTATAATGTCTGCTTCTATTTTGTGGCCACATCCTTCAGGATTTTCATGTCCTTTACAGTGATTTTTAATGTATTTTGTATTCTGCTGTGGACTCTTATTTAGGGTGCCACTGTCCAGCCACAGGCATTACAGCATCTTTGAGCTCTTATTCCACTCTCTAATGTTAATAGTTTCCTAATTTCAATTTTATATTTTAATTTAACAATGGTTTAGTCTCTTGCTAAGACTAATAAAGACATAAAACTATTAGAAGGCATCCAGAGGAGGGCTCTGAAGGTGGTGAACGGTGCAGAGGGGAAGTCATACAAGGAGTGGCTGAGGTCAGTTTGTGAATTATTCTGAGTTTGCTGCAATTGAAGACAGAGAAAAAAGATAATTCTCAATGTTAGAGATTTTTTAGGGGAAGGAAAGATCAGGTTTATATAAAGAAAAAAAATCCTAGTAAGTGTTAGATGTTTTTCAATAACTCCCTATTGATTTAAAAACTGTAATGTGTATCTCTAGGAAGTCCTGGGATCACTTTAAACTTAGTTTTTATGACAGTTTTAATAGGGACATCCATAGCTCAAATTCACAGGGTAATTATCTGATGCAAATATTTCTGCTAAAGAGTAAAATAGGTTCCTTGGCATTAAAAAATACTTTTTTGTTTGTTTTAATTTTAATCTGTCCAGCATAATTAATTCAGAATCTTCTCAGAAAAACTACAAATGTAGTGTTACAGCTGGCAAACAGCTGTGTAGTCTTTCTGAATTTCATAGCATTTGATTTCTGTGTTACAAATAAATTAGAGCTCTGCTAAGAATGGGATGCATTCAGTATTTAGTAATGTAAGCTTTGGGATGGTTTTGGAAAGGGTGTTGATCCATTTAAGTACACAGTACTTGTGAGTAGTTTAGACCTACTTTATCCTGTGAGGAGAATATGAAACATGGCACATAATGACAATAATTGTATTTTATGGTGATATCCTTGTAGAGTAAATAGTTCTTCCCTGTATCTATGGAATTGCAGTAGTATTGCAGGTGAAGTGGAATTGCTTGAACCACAATTTTAGCAGTGAGTCAGAGATACCAGGAGATTTAAAACATCAGCACAGCAGAATGACATTGCAGCAGAATTTGACCTCCAGTACACATTGGTGTAAGAATAAAAGATGCTCAATGCTTTCCTGGTTGATGTTCTTTATATTTGATTAGACTATTACCATGGAAATCACTCAATGAAGGTGATGTTTTTTTCCTCTATTTTTGTTTCACTCCTTTGAACATCTTTTCTCACCTCACAAAGTTCTGGAATATCTGTCCCATGGAGCACCTCCTGTCCCGGCTGGAGGTGGACTCTCGGCCGGTGTCGCGGCGCATCGTGAACCTCCTGCTGAACTCCTTCTTCCCCAGTGCCCAGCCCGAGGACGTGTGGTGTGAGCGCTGTGTCACCCTCATCCAGATGAATCCTGCAGCAGCCAGGAAGTTCTATCAGTATGCCTATGAGTTCACTGCCCCCACCAATATAGGTAAAGCACAAAACCTTGGGAGCTTTTGGGATTACTGATAGCATGCGATGTAAATGCTTTTTTCTTATTTCTTTAACAGTGGTACATTGTAGCTAGGTTTTTGGGGGGGTTTAGTATAATAATAGTTTGTAGTTTTGGAAATTCTTGACACCAGCAATAAGCACAGCAGGCAAAGTCATCAGCTTTTTCAACAGTGAGGAGATCAAAACTTTTCATCTCTGTTCTTATGATGCTGTACTGTGCACTCCCATGGTGGTACCTGGTCTATTCCCCTTTCTATTCCCCTTTCTCCCCACATGTACTTTAAAATTATCTCAGTTGATACCTATTTCTCATGTAGAATTAAGGTAGCAAATACCCTGATGCCTTAAGTGATTTGAGATCTTCATGTGAAAGATGATATAGAAACTGAAAAAATGTTTACATTTGATAATCTGGATGTCTGGGATTTGTGCACCAGGATTTTCAAGTTGCTCAGAGAAAATCTAAAAAGTCCTCCTTCAGAAAGCTTCTGAAAGTTTCAGTGAAGAGGGCATGTACTGCCCTGCCTGTCACTGCTTTCTAGAAAAGTCCTATTGAAACAAGTAAAATCAGGAAAATTTTGTTTCAGAGGAGTTCTGTTAAAACTCAAGTAATCAGCATGGAGTGACTTGGGTAAAATGCCCAAACCATTGCCTCTCACTGATCATCTTGATAAGGTTATGAAATCACAATTATGAAATCAGAGTGGCATAACCCTTTCACTTTTTCTAGAGCTGAGCTCCTCATTCAGGAGCGCAATGGTTGGGCTGCATCTTTTCCCAAGAATGGGAATTGCCACAGGAGGGAATGGGAATTGACATAGGAATGAAGATTGACATTGGAGGGAATGTGTTCTTGAATGTGGGTCATTAATTTAGCTGTGCAAATCCTACAGATTAGATGTAGGAGTTGTGGAAGATTCCTCTGGTTCTGGTTTGATAAGGTGGTGATTATTTGGGGTTTTTTAGTATACTGTTTTAACAGTAAAATTCCAGAGCATGATGATAGTGTTGTCATTTCTTCTTCATACTTGAGGATATCAAACATGTTCACATTTTTTCCATTTCCTGTACAAGGAATTTTGCTCCATTTTTTTCCTAGCTGTTTCTGGTTCTGTTGCCTACTTTTTCATACTGGCTTTCCAGCATTGTAATTAGAAGCACTTATTACCAACATTTACAAATAGTAAATGTCTCATTTATTCCTGCTCCATTTAAATGTAGCTAAATTGATGCTCACCATTCGGCGCTGCTTGAATGCCTGCATCCAGAAAGCAATGAAAGCCAATCTTCATGGCAGTGGGGATGAGGGTGAAGATGGAAGTGAAAAGGAGAACACCAGTGTAAGAAAGTCCACTCTATTCTAAATTCTGATAACTACTTTTCAGTGGTGCTTAATGTGAGACAGAATATGGCAGAAAGTCTAAAGGAATGTCCTTGGGCATCTCTGGAGTTGGAAGGGGAGAATTGCCATTATGTTACAGACATCTTTGCATAAAAATCTTTTCTTTAAGATTTTTCCTTCTGGGAAGCTGAAGCCTCAGAAAAAGAATGTAAACAATGGCTATCTGCTGCTGTGGAATGCAACAGGTGCACCTGTGATTGGCCCATGTTAGATGTGTACAATTAAGGGCCAATCAAAGACCAAGCTCTCTCTGGGACAGAATCAGAGAGAGCTCCTTTGTTTATTCATTCCTTTTCTATTCTTAGCTTAGCAGCTTCTGAGAATTTTTCTCTCTATTCCTATTAGCATAGTAATAATGTAATATATATAATAAAATTATAAATCAAGCCTTCTGAACATGAAGTCAACATTCTCATCTCTCTTTCCACCCTGAAAAACCCTTGCAAGCCCTGTAACAACATTATTGGATTTTCATGTCCTGCAGTAGCAGAAATCTGGTCAAGTAGCTAGAAAAAGATAGAAGGAATATGAAGCTTATTTTAAATTCATAGTTGCCTAATTCCAGTGTTGATTATAAATTGGTTTGGTTTTGCAGTAAATTATTTTAAAAATTACTATTGCAAGATAGGTGAAGTTAGAGAGGATAAAACTCAGTTATGGAGTTCTTGTTCTACAGCGACCAGAGTGTCTTTGTAAAGAATCTAGAAGGATTTTTTCTAGTGTCTTTAGAGCCTTATTTTAATTTAAATTTCTATCTGAAAATATCATTGGTAATATCATCTAAATGTTTGTATTTCAGGTGTTGGATAATGTGTTGTCAGTAAATGATGTGGCCAGCATGGCAAGTTTGTTGGAGATCACTGTAATACTCTGGAGAAGCATCCACAAAGCACTAGATCATAATGAGGATGCCAAAGAATATGCTATCAAGAAGTTTGCTTCTGTACTTCCTGAATATTTTAAAGTATTTCAGGTAAAGAAAGCCTTGATTTTCCTGTATTTTCTTCTGATGCTTTCATGTTTTATATCTTTTATTTATTTTTATGACATTAAGTATTCTTTTTCATTGTTGTTATAAACTATAAACAGCAGCAATTTTCTTGGAATCCCACAAATGGGCGGAAACTATTCTCCAGCTGCAGTGTCTGACTGATGAACCATTATGCAAATAGTCAGCTCAAAAATACTTAGGCAATAAATTGCTCTCCTTGTAAGGTTTTTCTAGGGTTTTATTATTTTGAATGTTTTAGAACTTTTGGAAAACAGTAAATACAAAGGAGCCATTGTAGAATTAATACTCAGCGTACATTAGAGTCCACATGTTTTTCTACCCATTGTCCTCCAGACTTTTCCACCAGCACCACTTCTATGATTCAGCTGCAGCTGAAGCAGCTGAGGCTCCTTTTGCACTGAATTTGAGCTGGCAGAGTGCACTTGCAGCCCAGAAAGCCAAACATGTCCTGCTGACCTGCTGGAGTGAGTCCAAAGGATGGCCACCACGATGATGAGAGGGATGGAGCACCTCTCCTAAATGGAAAGGCCTAAAGAATTGGGATTGTTAAGCCTGGAAAGGAGAAGGCTTTGGGGTGACCTAATTGCCTGCAAGAAAGACAGAGAGGGACTTTTTACAGGGGAGTGTAATGACAGGACAAGGGGAATGGATTCAAACTAAAAGAAAGTAGGTTTAGATTAAATATTAGGAAGAAATTCTTTTTTGTGAGGGTGGTGAGACATTGGCACAGATTGTCCAGAGAAGCTGTGGGGGCCCCATCCCTGACAGTGTTCAAGGCCAGGTTGGATGGGGCCTGGAACAACCTGGCTAAGTGGAAGGTGTCCCTGCCCATGGCAGGGTGGTTGGAACAAGATGATCTCTAAGGTCCCTTCCAACCCAAACCATTCTGTGATTCTGAGGTTTCTGCTAATTTAAATCTACTCTCTAATAATCTGTAGATGCATTTATTTTTTTATTGCCTGGATTCAATATAGTCAGGTAATTAAAATCAGTAATTTTCAAATTCTCAGTCTCCTTTCTCTGATTGTTTCAGTGTAATTCTTGAGGAGGATGCCATCCTGAGAGTGGCCAATAGTGGCTGCTGCACCCAGAGTGAATTTGGAAGGATTACATACTGCATATCTTTTTCTTAGTTGATGGCTTTTTTGCTGAAGTGTCCTAAAATATGGTGGCTGCTCCACTGCAGCTTTGCTTTAGATAATCAGGGAGTGAAAAGCAGCTCATTGGTACACATTACTCTGCAGCACAGAGACACAAGTGCTCTCTACCCTGAAAGCATTTAGAAGTTGTCAAAGACATTCCAAACTTTTTTGGCAGAGGATGGAGCATCCTTTCTGAAAGGGTCGGGTGAACAGACAAGATAACCAGTTTTAGCAAGCAGCCTCTTTGACTTTGATATTCTTACATAGTGAGTATGCAGCTTGGATCTAAAAGGACCGACAGGAGATTCAGAGATTTAGGTCCTAAAAGGCTACAAACATACTGAAGCTGCCTGTCTCTTTCCTGAAAAAGCTACAAATATATTTTAAAAGTTCTTTTAAAAATATGAGCTTTAAAAAAAGGTTTTAGATTTTGGAATGGCCAAGTAGATGATCATTTCATTTGACTTTTTCCATGAAGCTTGGACGTAGCAATAAACCATTTTTGAAGAGTTCTTAACATGGATTGGTTTCTGTATAACCTGAGTGAGATTGTGTTGTGGCCTAGACCATGTATTATGACATGTTGTAAATGAATAACAGTGCATTAAACACTGCCATCCTTATATAAGAACCTTTTTCTTTAGTCTTTTTAATAAGTTTGTCTTGTGAATGAATTTAGGCATTTAAGGTTGAGAAGAGTTAGATGGTGTCATGGTTGTGCAATTAAACCTCAGTCTCTAGTAGAAAAAAAATGAGGAGGAGCTGCTATTTCTGTTGCAATGGGTATTAACCTAATGGAGCCATGACTATTCATGGTAGTTATTCTGGCAGTTTGTCAGAAAGTGAAGGATATGATAATTGGTAATTGACCTCCAAAACAGGAATCAGACATTTCAGATTGCAAGCCATATTGTTTTGAGCTCCTTTCAGCTCCATTTGTAGTGGGAAAGGGAGATCCTTAATTTGAGGAGATGTAATCACAGTTTTTCAGTACTGTCTTTAGTTTTGCTTGCATGTGTGTACCTCTATGTCATAGAGTGTCATTCTTTTATCCTAGGACGAGCGGTGCATGGCTCCACTGATTATTCTGGCATCCTTTATGCCTCCTGCTGCTATCCCTACATTCAGGTACTGTTTGGAAATCCAAAATGGAAATCACTATAAGTTTGTTGCTGGCTGTATTCGTTCATTTTTTTGCAATCTGATATATTAAATACCCATTTGGGTAAATTAAGACACTAAAACTGTGATAAGTCAGTAAAATTTGTGATATTCAAGTCTTTCTCATTGGTGAATCCTTTTTTTGTATTATACTAATTGTTTTCTGCACTTATGGGTGTGAAGATAATGTATCTCTTTGTCTGTTTTCTTTTAAGCTGTGGTGTAGTTTCCAGACTCAGAAATATTGACAGTGGAGCTGACCAAAACAAATATTCTGTCCTGATCGACTGCCTGTGCCGCTGGGGTCAAGTGGGGCACATTTTGGAATTAGCCTGTGATTGGCTCTCTGACTCACTCACCCCAACAAAGGTGTGCAAATGCATGTCACAGGGAATAGAGGAATTGCCAGCCTGCTTTAAGGCATCATGCTTTTTTAGAATAGAATAAGAGCTTTTAATGCTGTATTATTCTGCTTTGAAATCAGTTCTACAGTCAGGTACTAACAGGGTTGTACTGGTTTTGTGCTTCCTTCCTATTCAGAATGCTAAAACATCTGGGCGTCGAGTACGGATCCATGTGACACAGGAATCAAAGCCAGACCTAGCAATTGATTACATTGAGTATTTATTGACTCATCCTGTCAATTGTGGTTGCCTACTTTCTGTTCCTAAAAATAAACTGAAGAAGCTTTTGAAAATCCTCGGTGCTGCAAAGGTAGTTTTCTCCTTCTCATAAACAGTGCTTATAAAATCAGTGCTTAACATCATATATTGCCTGAGTCAAACTAAAATGCCTGCAAGAACAAATAAATGAGGTTCATTATGCCCTCTCCCTTTGTAAAAAGATTTTTTTGGTAAAAAAAAAAATCCTTTTGATTTTTATTTCTTTTTTATTTTTATTCCAACAAATACTCTAAACTAGAAGTATAATAGTTCAGAATTGTTTATAGAGATGGCAGATTTAAGCCAGCTTCTCAGTCTTAGATGTCTCAAAATTTTTTTGATCTAGTGTTGAGTGTTTTTAAGGGACCCAACTTTTAGAATATGTGAATAAGGAATAGTCTGAAAATCAGTTATGGCATTGAAAAATGGAAGTAAAGTATGCTTGTTGCTTATTTGGGGTTGGTGCTTTGCTGGTTTTGTGGGTTTGGGGTTTTCTTTAACCTTTTGTTTAAAGCTATTGAGTAAAGAAACATTTGAAAGGTTTTTCTGAAAACTATAAATGTAAACCTTGATATTTCAGAAATTTCTTGGCTCAGTTTTGGAAGGAACAGATTCTGGTGGCTGGAATCAAGCAACCAGCCTAAGAGCCTTCAGCCTCTTTTGCAGATTGACTGTTCATCTTCAACACAAGGTATGGCTATAGCTTTCCAAAATAGGCTGGAGTTACAGTTGACAGTATAAGGAAGTTCCAAAACAACTGGAGAGACAATTGGTAAACTTCCCTTTGGGTTTTTTTTTTCAGTTTTCTGAAGAAGGAGAAGATCACCTTTCACTTCTGAAGGAGACAGGTGCTTGGATAGAAAGTCAAGTTGTACCTTTTATACTAGCAAGTGATCAAGAGGATGGTATTTCAAAACACAGTGATGTTTCTGAATTCATTATCCAGGTTAGATGATTCTTACAATATAAATCAAGCTGCTTTCAATTTGAAAAGCTGTAGGTGTAGCAATTTGTGTGCAGACAAACTGCACTGGCATTTGTGCCATCACTTGCAGTATCCCTTACCCCTGCCCTTGATTTGCCCTTCAAAGAAAGCATTTGATGATATAATGTGGGTGATGTTTTAGCTAGTTCTGAGCTGTTTTCTGTTGCATTCTTCTGACATTTCATTTAACCCAAGGTGGATTTTTAGCACTGAGCTTTTACCAGATTTTGGTGAAAGGAAAGATTTGGCTAACTTTGGTCCCAGGCAGTGTCTTTGAACAGCCCAGCTCATATATACACAGACTGATTAAAAGTTCTCACTCTGCCTGTACTTCCATCTCATAATCTGTTTAGTATGGAACAACTGTGTGTCTGTAGGGAAAAGCTCTTTTTGTCTGCTGGTTTTAATTTTGCTATTAAAGGCAGGTAGAGATGTCATATTTTGCCTCAGTAAATGATAAGTATCAATGCCTTTGATCTGAGCCTGAGTTAAAAAGAGAGGATTTGCTGCCTTTTGAGAAACCATTTACTGTTGGGAAAGGGCAATGGAAGCATTTGAAGGACTGGTTGGAATTCATGCTTTTCAGCAGGTGTGAACTGAGTAACTCCAGTTGGGTACACCAGCTCTCAGGGCACCTTGGCTAAGAGTTTGTAGTTTTATTATTTTGAGTTTTACTGAATGATTACTTTACATGAAGTTTGGGTTTCCTATAATTTTGCACCTCTCTTCTAGGCCTACCTGACAGTGTGCAAAGATGTCATAATGGTGGGCCTGGGAAATGTCACATTTCAAGCACACCTGTTAGAAATGGCTCTTCAGGTTATGCAAACAGGTACCCTCTTTTGTACTAACAGCAACATCTGCATTTATACTTGGCTGGCTTTTCTTGGATTAGCAAATTAGTTAATCCCTAACTTTTAAGACTTGGAGGGAACACTGGATTCATTAATTGGACTGTATGAAAATTTCAGCTAAGGGCGCTCAGAAATGAAATGTATTGTCTACACTTGTAATCTCTCACTATTTGTTGTATCTAACTGAGTTTCGTTCTAAGCTGGTACCTGATTAATATTGCAACTTTTACATTATGGTATTTATCTCTTTCTCTAGAGAGAGGTGGCTTTTGTGCTCCAATGTTGCTGTGTGCTCTAAAAGAAATTACTGAAGCTTCTTTAAATCAGAATACTGAGACAGAGGAAGTGACAAATCTTTTCCACACTCTACAAAACGTCTTTCAGAAAGTTTTAGAATGTGTGGCACACAGACTTAAGAAAGAACAAGAAAAAGGAATTCAGGTATGATATTACAGTTCAAATTGATACATAATTGCTAATGTGTAGATGAATCCATCATTTTTATGCAAAGGGGTATACTTAGACATTTTGAGGTTGTTACTTTGCTATTACCAACTGTTTGGGTAGACACATGATTAAATTTTCAGTTAAATTTGCCAAGTTTTCTTGTTACCAGGTTTTTTTTGTCCATTTTGGTCTCATGATGACAGAAGAACCAGTAAATTGCAGAACAGATGCATTTTGTTGCCAGTCATTCTGGAACATGGTGATACTTCTAGGCTAATCATCTTATCTGCAATTAGATGAACTTCCCCAATCCAGAGCAAAGGACTTGTTTATATATTCCAAGTTATATGTATATATATATACACTTGTTTATATATTACAATATATATTATGATCTTGGAGGGAGGAAAAATTTTCTTTATTATTTATTTCTTTTAGTCTGAATGATACCAACTTCAAAATATGAATGATGTTCTAACATTATGGAAAATCTCACATCTCCACAGAAAAGTAGACTTCTTGTATTTTAAAGCAGATACTAAATAGTAGTGAAATGGGTGGATCAGTCTGGGAAATTTGCTGATCTACTTTTCGTGACTTCTGAAAAACATTCAGTTCTTTTTTGTAAGAACCACTGCTTTGTTTGTTTCTCAAATTTATGAGCAGACTTCCCAGTTGTTGCTGATTCCCCTCTGATCCCAAGTGACTAGAAAACCTCAAAAGCTTTCAAGGTGTGGTCTGCACTTCACAGAGAGGCTTGCTGGTATATTTCAGTTATACTCAAGCAGTCTGAAAAAACAGATGTGTTTTTCTTTTTGGTTTTAGTTGATTCACTCTATTCAGATGCCTCTTGGAGAATTCATCCATGCACTGCAGTGCTGGCATTCCACATTCCCAGCAGTTCACCAGGGTGTTCTCTCCACTCTCCTGGCTGCAATAGTAGCAGAGATAAATTGTGTGCTACAGAAGGTAAAGTTAATCCTGATTTTCTTTTTTCTATTGAACACCTTCTGCTTTTTAAATGTTATGTTGGAACGACAGAGCTTTATTCAGAAAATTGATCTTCGTACTGCAGATGAGGATTTTGTGTGTGTTGGCATGGAACAAACAGGAAATTTTATTTGCTATAATTTCATATTAGAGTTCATCTCTCAGAATTCTGACTACAGCTGTGTAGGAACAGACTTGTCCTGATATTTATTTCAGTGTCTGCCTCTGACAGGAGAATTTAGCAGTTAGGCAGTGTTGGGGATTAATAACATGGATTCTGGGATATTTCCTCTGTGCTTTGTGCTGGCTCTGACTGGGAAGGAGTCAGCTTTTCTCCATGTGCTGCTGTGGTTGGCATTTGTGGCCAAGCCATTGTTGAGGACACACCAGTTTGTTTTGGCTGTTGCTGAGCAGTGCTTTGCAGTGTCAATATTTCCCTGGTTCCTTCACCTTCACTCTAAAAAAAAGTGAGGCTGTCAGTGGGCAGGAGGCTGAGAGGGAACACAGCTGAGACCATGCACCCAAACTGATCAAAGGCTTATGCCACACCATGCAATGCTGTGTTCAGCAATCAGAGCTCAGGGGAAAGGAGGAGGACAGGGGCTTCTTCTAAACCTACCTGACTTCATCCCACCCAGCATTAGGGAGTTTGGGAAGTGAACCACTGATGTGTGACAGATTCCCATTCCCTGCTCTTGGAATGGCCCCATAAGGTTCTATAGCCCTGTTTCAAAGCAGGCTGATGCCCTGCTTGGCACTGATCACTTGTGCATTCTCTGCTTCCATACAGAGACATTTCATGTGCTGCATCTTGGTTTTGGTTCCTTTGGTTTTCCAAATACCTGATCTGTGTTGCTTTGGAAAGTAAAGAAAGAGTCTCTAGTACTGAAAAGAATGTGTAGACAGAGGTTGTTTCATGTTCTGAAAGTCCCAGGAACCACAACTCTCCTTGAAGGAGAAGGGCAACATTCCCACCCCATTTTTCTAATGCAGGTAATGTTAGGAGCAAATATGATTAGTAAGATTGGAAGCTTTGACAAGTAAAAAGGAAGAGCAGAGGCTCTTTAGTAGAGGCTGTGCTTTTGCTGTGGGTTCTGGATGTGTCTGAAGCAGAGCAAGGAACAGTTGCCAGAAGGAACCACGGAGCAGTTCCAAGGTTCTGTTACAGGAGGCACTGCAGCAGTACCAGCTGTTTGCCTGCAGATGTTGATGTATCAGCTGAGAGGCTGGGGGGCACAGGTGCTCTTTACACATGATGCAGAGGAAACATTTCTGGGCTTAAATATACTGGAGATTGATAGATTGAGTGTTCATTCCAGTCACTCATCTGAGCTGAGCTTTTCCCTGCCCCCAGGTTGTTGTAGATCAAAATTCTGTTCTAACTAAGTATTTGTCATCTGTTCAGAACTTTATATCAAAAAGAGCAGGTATCCAGAAAATCACTGTCACTGAAGTTACATTTAGAAATCATGGATGCACACTTCAACTTGGAGCCACAGAGAGACTCATTTGTGTTTAACAGGCTGTGCCTTTGTGAAGAGTGACCACCAGTGTAGATAAATGAAACTTCCGGTGAAAGCAACTGCAGAGAATATCTGCCTTGGTACAAATACTGTTCATGTGCTTTAGTTTCAGTCTTTCTAATTTAAATTAGTTTTGTTCATTTGGACACCACACAGTTGAATTAAAGCCACTCAAAGAATACTTGTGAATGTTCCAATGGTTTAAGGATAGGTCCTGGTTAGTGTAATTATTGAAATACAATATTCTGCATACACATCTGTCTTGAGCTACAATGGTTGTTGACTTATTTCTTTTTTAGGCTTCCAGTGAAAATGACTTGACTATGCCAAAGACTATTTCAGACCTTCCCCCTCTTTCAAGCAGTTTAATGGCTGTAATTATGAAGTCAGCTAATGTTGTCAGGTAAACGTTTCTATATTAATTTTTCCAAGATTTTTGCTAATATAGAACAGTTTATGTGTTGTCAATAAGATTTTAATTTCTAAATTCAAATAAATCTTGAAGAACTGGTTGATTTCTAAATTTATCTGGACTATTTAATAATCCCTTTTTAATAATCCCTTTTTCTTGACATATTGCCTGTAGGTATTGATTGCTGGGGTTGAGTCCATTTTTTAACCAAGAGTGCTTCTTATTTACAAGACTTAATCATTATGAGTTTTTTAATCATACATCTTGGCTTGCTTCTTTCATAAGATACTTATAAAGCTGAGTCCCCTCAACACAGAGATATTAAGATGAGATAAAATATATGCCAGAAATAGAATTAATCCTTTGATTGAACATCTGCAACAAGGTGGCATGTACTTACGGTTGTATTAAAGTCACAACATTCAAAATAGGAAGTACCTGAGTGCTGAAAGCCTCCAAAAGTGAGCTTATGTTATTTATTTTTTAACACTTAAACTGGGAGGGTATTTGCTCTATTTAGTGGGGGCCCTAAATATCTTCTAAAATTGTCACCACTGAATTTCATTTTGCATGGTTTGTTCATATTCAATTTTTCTTAACATGACTCTACACACCAGACTTGTTTTAAATGACAAAGGGACTTAGAAGTCCTATTGCTCTCCCTGACTTGCGACAACTAATTCCTCTTCTTTCATCTGACAGGCACTGAGTATCCCTGTCTCTGCTGTTATGAGGTGGTTTGTTTTCTTCTCAATCCTTCTCTAATTCTAGTTGAACTTGCAAAACAAAAGACTCCAGAGACTCCAGAGATTCCAGCAATAGTCCAACTAATGCAAATCTTGAGGCAGCAGCTCAAGGTGTTCTCTTCTAGTGAAACAATTATTTTACACATCTCTTTTCAAAAGAGATGCAGAAAATCAGTTAATTCTTCTGAAACTTTTTCTTGTAGTAATCAATGTGAATCTTGTCCATTCTTGGTGGAGAAAACTGCAAGTTTGGGCCAAATTGTTTCTGTGTACTTGGGGAAAAAAATGTATCTTCTAGTATTTCTCTTTTTGGGGTAAAGATTTGGAGATAATTTCCATCTTGTTCTACTGGTGCCTCAGAATTGAGACTACTTTTAAGGCTCTTTTATAAATCTGTATTTGTAGGGCATAACCAGGGTCCAGTAGTGAATGGTTCAGTATTTCAGACATCTTTATGTCAACATGAAAGCCTCTAACATTACAAAATCTGATGTGAGCTCCTGCTCTGTGAGCTCAGACTCATCTTGCTCTGAGTTCAGCAGAATCTGTTTTATTTTCAGTACTAACCAGTCTCTAGCGCTGAATTTCAACCCCCCTAGCAGTGATAATACTGGGAGACTTGGCAGTATCTGTCCAATTGTGTGAGTAGCCTTCATTTTAGTAGGGAATATCTGTATAGGAACCAATTACTTACCTCTGAACCTTATATGTATTTTTAAATAGCTTATTGTTCTATTGTACCTTTGCCTGCAGGCTCATGTGACCCTTTTTCAGAGGGAGGTGGGGAAAGGCAGCTTCAGTGAGTGTTGTTACAGGTTAATGAAATTCCAGTGTTCCTTCATGGAGGTTAAGAGTGTGCTTAGTGACCCAAACAATGATAACAACCAAGTCAGGACTCTGATCCCACTTCTGCCCATTAGCAATTTAAGAGCAAGCTGAAATGGAATCAATGCTTGGTCACATTAGTGCACAATGATACAATGAAACTGAAGCAATGCATGAGCAACTTCACAATGCTTGTTTCTGAAGCTAAAGATTTTTCATCTTTCTCAGCTCTTAGAAGCAATATTTGAATTTCTGAAAAATGTTTTTACTGAATTGGTTCTTAACTGCATATTTCATTTTGATATCTTACCACAATAAAAGCCTGAAGAACAATTGAAGTCAGGACTGGCAATGTATGATGTTCAGTTTTCATAACAGATAATAATATTGCTAAAGGTTTTTTGAAATATGTTAGGGAAAGTTTCTGTAACATTGCTGCTCTCAGTTTTCCCTTTAGTTCTTCACAGAGCATTTTGCTTTGTGCTCTGAGTACCACCAGGATTATGGACCTCTTCCATCTCCTGTTTTATCCCTCTTGTTCTTTTATTTTTCTCTGGTTTTGAGAATTGCTTCTCAAAGTTAAATTTGGGTTTTTTACCACAAACACTAATGACCAGTTAGTTTCCATTCTGTGCTATTGACTTATTCCCTGCTGCAGTTTAGTTTGGTTGCTGGACCCCATCTGAGACTTTAATTTCATTTCTCTTACCTTGACATGTATCCCAAAACACCACTAGAGCTTGCTGGTAATACTTTCATCTCTTGCTAGAAGTCACAAAATCTCTTAAGATACATATTGAGTTAGTATTTTACAAGGAGCTGCTGTCATGGTTCTGTTATTCTGTCCATAGTTTCAGTAACTAAAATGTTGCTTGGATGTGTTTCAGAGCATTGTTTAGTTATAAATGATCTTCACTGGGTTGTAATTGGAAAAACATCTATTTTAATATTTATGAGAAACACATTTAAGATCAAATTTTAATTAAGCCTGAGTAGGAACTAGCAAACCAATGGAGTCGTAGAATATATTTTTTTCAAACTTTTGTAGGAATTTGAGTTAGAAATTTCAGTAAATTCTGGAAATTAAATTCCTGTAGAACCAGTAGTTTTTTCATGGATTGACTTTGCTAAGATGTACCACAAGCTTTTCACTTCTCTTAACAGCCACTTTTTCTGTTTCCAGACTTTTTTATTTTCTTCCCAAGCAATTTACCATGCTTTGATATTCTCAGATCCAGAGGCAGCACATAGTTTTCAGTTACCCAGTCATGCTGCTTTGTCCTGCATGGTGTCTTTGAAGCTGTGGTGGCAGACTAGCACAATTACAAACATGTTCTGTTCCATTCTATTTTGAAGGAAATGTGATTTATAACATATTTTTTCTTTATTTTTTTCCTTAGGTCAATTTTAAATGAATTAATGGAGTGCATTCTCTCTGAAGAAATTGAAGGGATTTTTAGTCTAACAGCTACTGTCTGCATTGTGATTATAATTAAAGGTCAGTTAAAACATTTTTGTCCATTTTCCATATTTCTTTTTGCTACTGCATTGAAATAAACAGTAGTTAATCCAGGACAGTGAAAATTCAATTCAATATCTAATCTTCAATTGAGCAATCTTTTATGTTTAAAGTTTTTCTATGAAAATATGGAAGGGTGGGGTTTGTTTTTTTTTGATAAATTATTATTTTTGTCCAACTCATTTCAAATAGGTAAGCACAAAACTTCACTTCTAAAAGATATTGCACCTGCCATTCAAAGGAAGCTGATAATGTGCAAGGATGCTGCCACAGAAGAATCCAGAGGCACTGAAAGGTGGGTGTGCTGCAGGAAAGGAGCTCTGAGCTCTCCTATCCCCCCTCTGCAATAATTGGCTCTGTTCTGTACTTACATAACACTGTTAGAGTGTTCTGAGTGACTGATTGCAAGGTTTAAAATACTGGGGGGGAAGTGGGAGGTATTGAGCCCAGCACAGTATTAAATTTCCTGCCCTTATATCTGCTGTGATTGCAATCTTTACATATTTAGCTTCAGGCTTTTTTCATTTAATTTGAATGTGTTATCACTTGATCTGTATATTGCAGGATTCACTTCTGAAATCCAGGTCTGTTTGCAGCTGGGGTAGAACAAAGCAAATAGTCCAGTTAGTAATTCTTATCACTAGGAGATTTTTCTCCCACTTTAGCATTAGGCATATGAATCCAAACCTATTCAGGCAGTAAAAATTTAACTGAATATAACAATGACTTTGAGACCTTTCCACAGGTGATTTTATTTTGCTCTTTTTGTTGGATGGTGGATTTCAAGTGTCATATCTTGTGTATCTTTTGTGAAAAGTTTTTTGAAAGTGATTGGCTGCATTGTATTTGCAATCAGTTATCTCAGGCCTGTTGAGAGAATCATGATGACTCCTTTAGCCTTTAGTGTCTCAAACTTGCTTAAGTCTTAAAATTTGTGAACAGCTGATTTCTGCCTAGTTATTGAACTGCCCATGGAATCAAAAAATGTGCAAAGGAGACATTATAAGCTCAAATACAGAATGTGAAGAAACCAGACTGGGATTATGGACATTATTCCAAAATTTCTGAGAAAGTTTGCAATGCACCACAGAGGCCTGAACATGCAGAGGCCCTTGCAGTCTTTCATTCTTCAACTAGTGATCCTTACTATTGAGTCAAACAATGGATGTAGAGTAGACAGACTTTAAAGTAAAAAAAGCCAAACCAGAGACTCCCAAACAAGCAAAAAACCCATTGTAAAGGAGCCTCATTGTACAGGAGCTTCATTTACTCAACAGTTTCTTGCACAGCTCTTCCCCAGATCTTCTTGTGTATCTCTGGCCTGGGGCACATTGTTCTCTGGCATTTTAGTGACTTGACATGACATTGGTGGCTGAGCTGTGCCTCCATCCAGAGCATGGTGCTCTGGGTCCCTTCAGTACCCAGAAGAGACCTGCAGGAAAGCTGGAGAGCTGCTTGGCTGTGAACAGAATGTCCTTTGGTCAGAACCTTGCTTAGAAACAAAATCTAACACAAGTAAACAAAACCTCATTCTTTTCTCCTTGAAATGATTTTACAATGGGTTGCCAAGTGCCCTACTAGAATATTTTTAACAATAATAATAATAATAATTATGTAGAAAAGAAGGAGAGCAGCAGGATATTGTGTTTCAGTTTGCGCTTCTTCTAATCAAGACAGTAAAAAAAGCTGTGAAATTAAAGTGAATCTTAACATGATTAAATAAATAGGCACATTAAAGTGAATAATTGCTGCCACTTGAGAGCACTAGTGACTATAAATTTCAGTGAGAACACAGATAATTGCTTTATGAAACTATATGATTGTCTCTGCCCAGTGAACTGGGACAAATCAACCTGCATGTTGGGGCAGATGAGGAGTATGACATGCTACACAGTGTTTTAATTTTGTGATATATTATGAGTGGCTGCCTTTATGTAATACAACCCAGGAGGCAGTTGCAGACAAAATTCAAGGGTTAGGGATATGAATATGATAATGGGAAGACTTTTTCTATGAATTGGAATTGCACTATGATATAATTCAGAAGCTATCACACAGCTTTGCAGAATTTGGGGGGTTTCATATTTTTACAGTTATGTTGGGGAATTTTCCAGTCCAGAAGGGTAAAATAATTGATGCTGGGAAGAGGTTTGGAGGGAGTTCTGCAGTGAGCAGGTTCTGCACCATGAATGGAAGTGTTTGCAGTCTCCCAGCTAAGACAGAACATCAGACTGGGCTGGGCCTCTGGTGGTTTCTGATGTGCCATTTGTAGTGCTCTGCTGCTGGTGTGCTAATGTAGCTAAAATGTGATTATGCATGCTCAAAAACATGCCCTATTGTTTGTAAACTATTTTATCATCCTGCTCTGCTTACCAAACACCAAATTTTGTTATGGTATGCTGCAAGTTAGAGCTCTGGTCATTAATTTGAAGACAGTCCTCTAACACACATTACTGTGCTGCTGCTGGCTAAAATGCATTGCTGGGTTTTAACTCATTCTTAATAGTATTACTATTTTTTGCTTCTGAATGCATTAGCTCCTAATAACTCCTTGAGGGATTATTTTATTCAATACCCAGGTATACCAGGAAATGGTGACATTCTTTAATTTCCCAAGAGAACTGGCATTCTGTGCCAGCATCTTAACTTCAGACTTAGGAGTAATCTCTTACATATTAGCAATGAAAGTAAAAAAGCTGTCTGGTGTGGTAATTAAGGTGCTGCCCTTATACAAGGAATTGGTGCACTAATTCAGAAGCAAAACTTTTCACTGCAATTTACTCTTCCCTCTTCAGCTGAGCTAGTGGTTTCAGATGGTCCTGTGGGTCTGTATTTTAAAAATGCTGTTCAGTGCATTTAAAAATTCTGGACAACATACTGTGTATTGAGAGAATTTCCTCAAGAGTAATGGCACACACATTAGTTTATAAAGTGCAAATATTTATGCTTAAAAAAAAAAATGCAGATAAAGCTGTCAATGCAGTCGTTTGGAGGTTAGAGAAATATTAGATTCTGTAAAACCTAATGTGCTATAGGATAATAACTTAATACTGTATTTAGGTGTATTTATTTTATTTAGCTTTTTGATATATGAATATTAGAATTTAAATTTAGCTAATGACTGTGCTGAAATATTTTTTTTAGTATTATCATTAGCTAGCTCTCAGATTCTTAATTGCACTATCTTGTGTCTGTAAATTATTGCTCTTGAATTGTTTTGGTGTATAACTCTGGGCATGATTTCTCTGCCTCCCATCTTTGAGATCCCTAGGAAGGTACTTGGTAAAACTGACTTCAGCTTGTGTGTTTGGGAGGAGCAGAGTGAGCCCAAGTGATGACTTTGGCCAACGTGCCAATGGTCCCACATCACAAATCCATTGGTTTTTTAGCCTTCAACTGTAAGGAAATAAAATTTATACAAAGCAGCATTGTACCTAAACCCACAGAACACAACTAATTCTCCTAATGCTGTAGAACCTTGTAACACTACCTTTAGTTGAGACTGGAGTTTCATCCTGGCTTAAAGGCACTGCAGAGAGGGGTGTGAGATCAGAGCAGGGCTGATGAGTGTCAGGGCAGCTCGAAGGGGCAGCTGCTAATAAGGACAAGATTGAAAGCTCAGGCTTGGAAAAAAGTTGCCACAGGTGAGAAGAAAAATTATAGTTGTTGAAGAGTGAGGGAGAAATGAAGAAAGCAAACGAATGAAAAGTGGTCTTAGAGTGAATTTCTTGTAAAGGATTTCACTGTTTTGTTTAAACAAAAGAGTAACAATGCTGTGCAGAAAACAAGTGGGTTCTTTAACTAGATGATGAAATATTAGAAAATGTGCTTGAATTGACATGGTAATTTAAACTGGTTTGCTGTTGGTTATTCTAGAGACAGAGATGATCAGGAGAAAAATGGAAAAGTTGAAAGAAAACGAATCCAGCTATTTCAAAAGTAATTTGTAAAGGCATTTTAATAAACTAATACAGACATAATTTTAATACAGACTAACTTGTCAAAGAAATCATGTGGTAGCTGTACTCTGAGAATCAAATAGTTGAGGATTGATTTGGCATTTAGCATTTCTAATTCTGTTATGCATTCTTTTTTTATGGCATTTCAGATTCCTGTGTGAATCATCTCTGAAAATTTTGGATGAGTTTTTGAATCCTTGACCACGCAGAAGCTTTTGTCATGAAAATTGAGGGAAGGTGTATTGCTTTATAAAAACTTACCTTGTAAACTTGTGAATTGCTTAAAACTGTTTTCTGTTATTCTGTACATTTAAAACAAGCAAAATGTATAAAAGTGTGTATAGAAATTATGTAATAGTAAAGATTCTTCAACAGCTGCAAAGGGGTTGTTCTGTATAAAAATGTCTTCTTGGGGGGAGTGTAAAATCAGTATTTTTGTATCTTTGTTTTTGTAAAACAAATAATAATTGTATCATAGATACTCTTGAGGCTGAGGTTGCATGTAACCTCAGTTCCTGGGAGGACTACAGCATATTCCTAGGGGTTATGGAAATGAATCTTACTTTGAGATGTGTGAGGGTCAAAATGGTCATTGGGAATAGCCATCATGGCTTTATCAGGGCAAAGGCTTTACCAACCTGACTTCTCTCCCTTTTGGAGAAGAAGAGAGAGCGCAGCATGTCCTGTTTCCTATCCTTGGCAAAGACTTTTACACAGTATCTTACAGCCAAACTGGAGAGAGATGGGATGGATTGGTAGACTTGGAAGATGAGTGGAAAACTGGCTGGACCATCAGAGTGGAGGAATAATCTGCTAAGGGGTGACATTGGCGGCTGTGGCACTGCTGAGGGCAGGCCCTGCTGCCAGGGCTGGTTGGTGACAGGGTGAGCAGCAGCCTCGGACTGGTGGCAGATGAGAGCAGCTGGGAGCCACAGCTGACACCAAGGGGCATCTCCTGATGTTCAGCAAAGACCTGGAGCTGATGGACAAATCCTGCACCATCCACACAGGCACCTGCAAAAGGACAGCTTCTTGCTGCCTGCTCCTGCCTGCAGGAGGGTAAAGGAAACACTTTCCCCAGAGATGACTGGAGGAGAATATGAGGCTACAGAAACAACTTGAGCAAGAGAATTTCTTGTTGGATGTGAAAAACAATCATTATGAGAGGGAAATGGAACTGGAAGAGTTGCTCAGAAAGCCTGTGGAATGCCCATCCTTGGAGATGTGCAGAACTTGGCTGAGAAGGGGGGAGGGCTCTGACCTTCCATAGTGTCACAGCTTTGGAGTTAGCCCTGCTGAGCTGGGGATTGGATTCTCCCCTGAGCTTCCTCATGACTTGAATATTCAGGTGATTCAGTACCCAGTACAATGGGGGGAAATGTCTTAACTAGTAAACATAGGCTTGCGTAATATATAAATTGTTTTATATTTAACTATTTTTTAAAATTATAGCTATTTTGATCAGTTAGTACTAAGGATGCAGATAATGCAGGCATCTAAGACATTTATTTAATTTTCTTGCGACCAGATTCTCTCACAATGATGCCTTGTGAATGCTGACCTAGAATAGAGGCTAGACAGTGTTAAAGGAATAAAGTCGGTATTTATTAAAAGGTGTAATGCACTTTGGGTAGTACAAGAGCCCAGCCAGGGCTTACATCCAAGATGAACCAGAATGGTCACAAAATGCATGACTGGTCATGGGGTCTCTCACTTTTATAAGTTCTGGTCCATTAGCACATTGGAGTTAATTGTCCAATTACAGCTTTAACCCATGGAGTCCCATCCTTCTTGTTTTTCTCTCTTCAGTCCACATTGTTTATCAGGCTCTTGGGCCTGAGATTTGGATCGGTTGTCCTTGGTCCCCAGCTGGAGAAGGAATTGTTTTGTCTCCCTAGAGAGAAAAGAGAGCTCACCATCCCCTAATATGAAGCTCAGAACTACAAACTAAAGCTGTACAGAATCTGAAAGATAGAAAGGCTAAAACCTGAGGCATGACCAAGATTAAAAGAATGCTCATTGCACGATGTTATTTTGCCTTAATGGAGATACCTGTAAATTGCCTGTCTGAGCTCATGGGGTGGTTCAAGCCCAGCCAGCAGCCAGGCACCACCCAGCTGCTCCCTCACTGCCTCCAGCCCTTCAGACATGGGGGCAGGACTGAAAGGACACAAGTCAAAAAGAAACAGTTGAATAATTAAGATAAAATAATAGTACTTCTTCAAATTGTGAGGAAAAGAGATAAAAAGAAAGGGAAATAAAACCATCCAGCCAGTCCTTAAGCAGTGCCCTTCGTACAACCTTCTCCCCAGTTTATTGCTAAGCATGGTGTCAGATGGTGTGAGACATCCCTTTGGTCACCTGGGGTCCCCTGTCCCAGCTGTGTCCCCTCCACACTCCTGGTGCACTCCCAGCCTCCTTAGGGGTGGGGTGAGAAGCAGAGAGGGCATGATGCTGTGTAAGCCCTGCTCAGCAATAGCTGAAACATCCCTGTGTTATCAGCACAAATCTGAAATACAGCCCTATACCAGCCACTGTGAAGGAATTTATCTCAGCCAGAACCACACCTCCTGGTGCTTTAGTTTTGTCTGGTTTAGGAGATTTAATGGGAATCTCCAGAAAACAATTCAGCCACAGACCAAAGCTGCATCCTCCAGCTTAGACCTGGAGACCTGGGCACGAAGCTCTTGGTTATGTACAGTTAAGTGAAGTGATTCTCAGGTGGGCCTGTGCCAATGGCTATTGAGTCTCCAGTGTTGCTGAGGGGCACTGACTCTGAAATTAACCAATCTGGCCAAATTAAGACAGGCTCTTCATTCTTGATTAAGATTTGTACAAAGCTGTACCTCCCATCTGTCTAAACAAGCATCTACTCTGCTGGTTTTCTGTCCATGGGAAGAGGCTGTAAGGATTTTTCAATATTTGCTGTCAGTGCAAACATCAGATCCATCCATGCTTCACCTTGGTACATAAAACTTCCCTACTGGATAAAAGCTGTTTTAGCTAGAATGTTGATATTTAAAAGCAGTGCAGTTCTTAATAAACAACTGGCAAGCTTTGCAACAGGATAGTCAGTGTGTGCATGGATTCATGAGTTCCAGATGTACCTCATCCACAACAGTGGCCTGACCAAAGGAACTAATGCTGCCCCAGCAGGTAGCTGCAAATCTGCCAACTGTTTATCTATCAACATCTTTATAAAAACTGTGTTCTTTGGCCTTCATTCTTCTACATCTGTTAACAGGCAGGTGTTCCGGTAATGACCTTTTAAATCTTCTGATTATACAAATTACTCAATGAATATGTAAATAAGTTTCTTTTTTCTGCTTCTCAGTCTCTCAGTGTTTGCTCATATCATTAGATTAGAAAAGAATCCAAATTTACTGCCTTGTTTTTCCTCAGTGTATAATTTTGTTTTATTCATGGAATTCATGGTACAGACGCAATAGCCCTGTCAGCTAGGTAGGAAATAAAGGTCATTCCATCAACATCAGAAATATGTGGATTTCCTTTGGAGAACTCAGAGGTGATACTGCTAGGAAGGGTAAAATATTTAAAGATAAACCTTTGTTTTCCTGGTGGCTGGTACTCAAGTGGTTCTTAAGAGGCTTGAAATAATTTTCTGTTAGTCCTGCAGCTGGTGAACATATTTCAGCTCAATTTCTAGTCCGGCTCTACTAAACTGTGCTGCCATGAAAAAACATTGGCTTTCTGCAACACAAATAATGGTGTTGGCATTCCTCGAGTTGAGGTCTGTCAGGGCTTTCTCCTTAGGCCTTTGTGGCAAATTTCACCAGAATATCAGAGGGGTTCTGTGTTTCACTTGCTGTTCTCATTGCAAACTTTAATCGTGCAAAAATTTAAATCTACATTTTCCTTCTTTTTGGAAGAGACAAATAAATAGAACATTTCTTAAGCTGTTATCTTTTGTAAACCTGTACAACAAATTTGTTTCATCTTATTAATCAAAAGCGCTGTTGGGGAAGAGGTGGTGTTTTTTGGGTGTGTTTGAAAACTTGCCTTAATCTTGAGACAGACCCTTTGAGATCTGTTCAGCTTTTTGAAGAAGTTGAACCTGACTTTCATTAATAAAATTTCTTGACAAATGAGCAAGACAACACCAGTCTATGACACTCCTTTGGGTAACTGGCACTGGCAGGTGATGAAGAGCTGCCTGCAGAAGAAACATTCTGGACACATTTGTACCTGTGAGTGCTGTGCCTGGAGCTCTTCCCTTTGTGCATATGCATTCAGGAGCAATGAGACTGAAGAAAGCAATAACCTAAAACTACTTTCAGTAATCAACATTGTTTGTAAGGACTTGGGCCCTTTTTGTAATGACAATGTTCATTTGCTTTGTTGTCTGAATGGGAAACAAAGCCCTGCATCTGCCACCTATCACAGCTTCAACTTGTGATCTGGGAAAAACCAGGATAAATTCTCAAGCTTCTTAGCAAATAAATGCCTTCATGTATGGATCCAAGCACACAGACCTTCAGAATAGCCAAGGAAGTTTAAAAACATCCACCTTGCACCTGTTGTTTACTCCATGAGAGCTGAAACTCACTTTATATTTAAACTCCCATGTGCTCCTCTCAAGTGTTCTGAGGTCTTTTGACTTTCAGAAGGAAATTGGACTAATTTTGACAAAACCTTTCACCTTACCTGAAGGATGCTTAGTGAAGGACACTCCTGATGACTGTGATGTGAAACCATGACACAGAGCAGTGAACTTGCCATATTCTTTGCGGATCTGCTCCAGTCTCTTGCAGACCAAGACCATGGCAGAGTCCAGCTGTGCCTGTGCCAGCAGCCCCTGTTGTGGCCACTGCCTGTGTCTGAGAGAAGAGCTTGACTTTGTGCTGGCACCTGCACAAGCAGCTGGCCGAGAAGCTTTCAGGAGCAGCTGCAGAACTTTCCACAGGAGGCCAGCAGTTCTTCAGGTTCATTAAACCCTTGCAAATAGGCACAGACCTTACCTAATGCGCTCTGGATAAGAATTCTTGGTCTGAGCATGAGCTGAGGCACAGCCCCAGGCTTCCAGCAGTGCTGTAGCTTTGGCTTTCATTTACTCAGCAGTCACTGGGGGTTTTCACTTGGTTAGGGTGTTCAGCATAGATATAGATGTGTTCTGGGTCTTCTCTAATCAGAGTCCTGTGTCTCTCCAGGTTCCACATCATGGCTCTTGCAAAGTTGCAAAAATGATATGCTGTGGCACTGAGGAAATTTCATTC